TATGGCATTATGTAAAAATGTGGATGTGTAACCGATGTGATTCTGCAATCTGTATTTGGGGTAAAAATGGGAGTTCATAACCCACTTGAAGCTAATGCATGAAATATGATTATGTCAAGAGCTTTGTAAGGTTTTGAAGAACCAATAAAAAAAAGAGAAACATATATGGACAAATATTTACCTGTCTCTTAGAATAACTCAATTAAGTTTCATATTTTTGTCCCTGCCTTCTAAATGGAGATGGAAAATTATTAAAATAGGATTGTTGGGCCAAAATGTTGAGACTTAAAGGCAGACCTCTGTCAGTCATTTTTCAGGGTTGATATTTCATCATACCTCCAAGAGTTTACTATCTCTTGGTTAAGAATAGAATGAGGTAGTAATAATTGTCTTAAGAAAGATATTAAAGGTTGAATAAGAAATAGGGGAACATCTTAGTTCATGTTGACTTTATTCAGTAATTTTAAAATATGGTATAAGAATAATTGGAAGTTCTTTCAGAAAGTTGATAGACTGTTAATGTTTTTATCACAATCATGTCAGTACCTTTCTTTTTGGCATTTGACACAAATCCATGTTTTAAATATGATGGTAAAGCTGATGTGTGTCTTCTTGCTCTCCTTCCATCTCCATAGTAATTTGGTTATCGTGGATAGTTGTTCTTTTAACTAGTATATATATTTAACTTGTAGCTATAGTTTACTTTAGAATATTTACTATTAACATACTAAACTTTTAATGATGGTAAAACATTCAGCTAGAATTATTGAAATATGGTTGCGATGCTCAGGAAAGCATTCAAGGCTAGAGACACAGATTTGGGAAGCCATGCACTCTCCACAGGCTTGGAATGCACCTACCTGTAGTCTATGGAGAGAAGCATGACCACTAAAGAATATAGGGAATAAGAAATTTAAGAATAGAGGGGCAAGAATATGGAAAGTTTCCAGACAGTAAGGGTTCTTTCTTTTTTTAAAAGAGAGTGAGAGAGAGAGAGATTGTTTTTTTAAAATATTTTTTATTTTTAGTTCTTGGCGGACACAACATCTTTGTTGGTATGTGGTGCTGAGGATCGAACCTGGGCCGCACGCATGCCAGGCGAGCTCGCTACCGCTTGAGCCACATCCCCAGCCCCCAGTAAGGGTTCTTAACATTGTCAAATGCTACAGAGTAATAAAGTAATAATTAACACTATTGTAGTGTTGAATTTTCAAATTCTTTTCATGTGTATCTGATCCCATTTGACTCTCCTAGAAGATATACAAAGTAGGTAATATATGAACACTAAGAGTTAGCCTGTGGATTTTATTATTAAAAGATACTTTCTGATGTTACAAAGAGCAATTTCTTAAAGGTCCACCGTATATATAGAGAGAGCTTGGATAAGTTCATTAAAAGATGTAATTTAAGAAAACAGGCAAAAGGTATGAAGTGGCATTTTAAAGGAGATGTTGTTCAACAGGTTGATGAAAACATAAAAGATATTCAAAGACAAAACAGAAAGATGCACGTTAATCCTTTGTGATTTTTGCTTTTTAAAAAATTTTTGCAGATTTCAGAAGAGACAGTTACCAGTTCAGTAGAAGAAATTGAAGACACACATCTCTCAAAAGGTTTTCATTAAGTATTTCACAATTTTGATATTCTTTATTTTTATTTTTAAAATCATGAATTATTACTCCTATGGTAGAATTTCAGCTTGGACACAGTTTCTTAAGGAATGAGTTTAAGTGTAAATTAAATTTACTAGATAATACAAGATTGGCATAGAGAAATACATAGAAGAGTCAATGCATATATAATAAGTTCTATTTTCTCCTTCTTTCTCTGAAAACATGGAAAATTCACTAGTGCTTGAGACTGTTAGAACTTAAACATACATAGATAACAGAACCTGCTTTAAGTAGTGCCAAGACTTGGGGAGAAAAATAAATAATGGTTGACCTCTGGTTCATTCATTCAACAGATGTTTATTGAGCATCTATTATATGTCATGTGCCATTGTAAAATCTGGGAATAGAATGTAAACAAAGTGACTGATTATTTTTAAATTATTCCAAGGAATGTTATATTTGAGATTAAAATTTTTCATGTCCTATTGTAGTTTAAATCTATATTACCCTTTACTTCCACCCATGCAGTATTTAGTTAGGGAGAGGAAAAGACACAGTGTCAGGAAAAATGTCCTGTGTCCAGGACTGTGACCTTTGTCCTTCTCAATACATCTGGTAGATCATCCAGTAGATGAGCAGAAAATAATACTTACTTAGGAGTGTACACAACAGCTAGAGCCTTCTGTGTCCCTAAAGACTGATTTATTTCTTCTAAGAGCTGGCTGAAGTAGAGGTTAGAAGTATTATATTGATTTTTCAAAACTGACTGAAGAACTTAAAATAGGTACTAGAGATTTACCTTTTTACCTTTCAGATTCTGAAGCAGACCCGACCCGGTAGCCCCACCCAAAACACCCTTGTCATGATAATTAAGCTTCTCCTCCTATCAGATCAGCAGGATGTCTGAAGAGGTTATTGTGGTTGGTAGTTTTGAAAATTCCTCAGGTGTCCAGTCCAGCCTCTTCTGTCCTACTTCAATTCCTTTCTTCCAGTTTAATCAAACAGCTTTGATATCTGTATATTTGTATATTCCACAGAACAGTCTATACAGAATATGACTGTTCTCATGGATTTTTTTTCCTAACAGGAAAAAGATAAAAGTTAGTTTGTCTGAAGAATCAGAAAAGGAAAGTGACAAAGAGAGAAGTCACAAAAGTAGCAAAATTCATCATAGATAAAAAGTATTGATTCCAGATTAGGAGGGGCAAAGGACATCCATTGGTCTTAGGTTCTGAGCTTTCATGGGGCAATGACCTAGTCCATAGTTGTCATGATGCTTAGAAATGCATGCAGTTAAGATATTTAACAGGTATTCTTGATGTTTTTTGATGTTTAATTATAAGAAAGTATTATGGAGGCTGAGGTTGTGGATCACTTGCCTAGCATGTGGAAGGCACTGGGTTAGATCCTCTGCACCACATATTAGTAAAATAAAGATCCATTGACAACTTTAAAAAGTGTATTAAAAACTTATAAAAAAGAAAATGTTATGAACTCTATATTATGTTTATTTTCTGATAGAATTAGATACAGAAGAAAATCAAAACATTATAGAGACACTGAGAAGCAAAGTAAGAGAAAAACTAAAAAATGCTAAGGTAAGATTTTTTAAATTTTCCTGTTTTTTTTTTTAAATGTACTGTTTTAAATGAAACATGTAACATAATGACCTGAATAATAAGCTGACGCTCAGTTCACTTTTGTTTTGCTTTGTTTTTTGCAATGCTGGGGGTCAGACTCAGAGCCTTGCATACATTAGGAAAATCCTTTATCACTTACCCCCACCCCCAGCCTCCATTGTCCATTGAGCTCCTTAGGTCTAAAAGCCTTTATGTTCTTTCCTGTTTCCCCCCGCCCCCTTTAGTCTCATAGCACTGCTGTGAGACTAAAGCAAAGACATGTTAAGTGATTTCTTCATAGTAATTCTATGTGACATTTAAGGGAAATACATACATATATTTTTAAAAAGAAAAATATTGAGAAGTCTTGATTTATTCATTTTGGACAGATTATTGATGAGCATAATCATGTTTATTTTTATAAAAATGTATTTTTGTTGTGTTTCAGATTAACCAAGGGGAAAAATCTTCAACTGAGACGCTCATTGATTCTAAGATATATCAATGGTTTAAGGTGAATAACATTTAAAAAAAAAACTTTATAAAACAGCATTATGGATGTATACCCTTTCTAGAGAAAATTCACCCATTTTAACCCTATGATCAATGACTTTCATTTAACTTACAGAATTATGTAATCAACAACACAATCTAGTTTTAGGCCATTTTCATCATTCCAAAAAGAAGTCTTATGTCCATTTGCAGTCATTCCCTATTTCTTCTTGACAGTCCCTATTTCTTCTTACTTTCATCCTTAAATTATATTAATTTTTATTGTTAAAAGGTAAACTTAAGCACATTAAAATTCTGAAGAGTTTATTTGAGCATAAAGTAGTTCATGAATTAGGCAACTCCAGACTGCAGGTAGTTAGGACTCCACCAAAGGGGCATGAGGGTAGAACTTTACAAAATAAACAAGGCAAAGAAAACATTAAAGTGGAACAGTAGCCTTCACATCCTATTGAGAGGTTAGCTGGCAGTTTCTGATTGAAACTTGAGTTTCATTTTCCTAGGATATGACCATTCATGCTGAGTTGTGTTTCAGTTTACTCATAGAAATTCAGGGCCCTAGAGCCACCTTAGCCTTCTGACCTTCCAATTAGTTATCCTAAAAATACTATAGATGGTCCCCAAATTACAGATCTTGTTCTAAAATTCAGTATGTGATTGCATACTTGAAACATGAAATGACAGAAAACAATTCATTTTGGGCAACTGTATTATTAAAAGTATAGGTTAAGTAGCTGTAACAAAAAGATTTAAGTAAAATGCTTAAGAGTGAAGCTTTTCTTCTTTCTGGTGTTAACAGTAAGTTGTTCAGGCTGTTGGGGGAGTTCTGCTGCCTTCAACATGTGCTTTTCATGTCTTAAATTCTTGGCATGGCTCCACTGTTTTCATTTGCAAGCCAAAGAAAAGGGAGGAGCAAATAACCAAGAGATTGCAGGTTAATCTTTTGGGACAAGACATGCAGACTGCACACAGCCTTTCCAGTAGAGAATATGGGAGCAGTGTCTAGGCATCCAGCTAAAAATAGGTTCTGTTATTAGAGATAGGAGAAAAAAAACAATGATATACAGCTAGTAACTTCTGCCACAAGCACCTAGAGTATTTAAATCTGCAAATTTTAAAATGTAAGAATTGTTGTTGTTGTTTTATTTTATTAGTTTTAGGTGGACATAATACCTTTATTTTATTTTTATGTGGTGCTGAGGATCAAATCCAGTGCCTCATACATGCCAGGCGAGCACTGTACCTGAGTTACAACCCCAGCCCCCTTGTTTGTTGTTTTTAATTCATCTTTATCTCCTCCATAGTGCCTCTCTTGGATGCTTAATTAAAAACATTTTAACTAAATGTTAAAATAATAAAAGCAGATTAAAAATGATGTTTTGCATGTTTTAAATTCAACATATGAATAAGAGTATACCTAAATTGGATTTAATTAAAAATAATAAAAACTATGACTAACAAAATGTTTGCAGAGGTTGAACCATTGAGTATAAAGAAAAGAGGTAAAAAGAAAGAGAAATGGGCTCAAAAGAATTTTCATTGTAAGTATTTGACAGTAGTTTTGAGATGAGCAGAGATGATGGAAGTAGTTTTGAGATGAGCAGAGATGATGGAAGTAAAAATACATATTGAGAATATATGCAGCATTGTTGCAAAGTGACACACTGAAAGATAACCTTTGACAGCTAAACTGTAGATACAAACAGGATATCAGATCAATTTTCACATTTTACATTTTCAAAAATTCTTTGATTCCTAGTAGCTATTAGTTTTACCTCATTAACAGAATTTATTCCTTTACAATCCCCTCTTAAAACAGTTTATTTTAATATGCTTCTGTGAGAAAGAAGCAATGTGATTTGTCGGAGACCAGCTCCAACAGGGGGTCTTAGGAGACAAACGGATGGTGAGGAGTCGGCGAAAGAGGGGGTGGAGAAACAACACAGACACCAAAGTGAAGGTGTTGATCCCAATCTTTACTTGTGAAGTTGATCATATATACTTTTCATTTTGGCAGACTTACAGTACTTTGTGGTTACAAAACAGGAATCATTATTCAAAGAAACAAAATATTACTTAGTTACAATTAGAATAGAAGAATGTATCTTGGCTTATGCATAAGCAAGCATTTGTACTTTCAGTTCGCGTTTTGCTTTGAGCTGTTTCTGCTTAGTTAACTTTTAATAATAGTTAGAAATGTCCCAAACTATTGGCCTTGACTATTCTTTCTTGACTTACTGACTGGAACCGGTGCCATGGTTACGGCAAGTGGTTGACTTGTTATTACTTTTAATCAAACAAAAGTAAGAGCACAAACCATTGTGCACAGGAACAAGAACAAGTTGCCCAGTACTAAGCACTAATCTGTCTTCTTAACATTAATTTTTCTTCTCTAGATTTTAATTTAATTTCTCAAAAACTTCCTTGACAGGAATACAGGGAGTTTTTTTTTAGACATTAACAATTTACACTCCACAGCTGAATCTTTGCATTTAGAGCAAACAGATCTATGCTTTAGAAGTAGTTGCATTAATTGGGAAAGTCATGATTTTTCCTTCATACTTAATGGTCATATGAGAAATCGCAACTATACTTATTAAAGGAATACAGAAACAAATTAGCCCATTCCCAGAACCATACTGCGCTCCTCCAGAGGATGGACGCCTTGCGTCATCCACCTCAGTAGGGCCTTGCCATTGCCTGAGTCAGGGGAGGGGCGCAGCAGTGATTTATATTTCAAAGAGTCAGACTTTACAGTATGGAAAAACAGGGTGTATTTATCAGCAAGTTTATAATGAAGACTACAGAACTTTTAAAACTTTAGTCACTTCTAATGGCACCATACTGTGCAGTGAGGTGGTGCTTGTCTGCATCCATGAACACTTGACAGTAGAGGGAAATTTGACCAGTATCAGCATTTTGATCAAGCTACAAGGCAAGGTAGTGCTCTTAAGTCTCAGACTAAAGTAAGAAGATAGTTTGGAAGGACAGAGATTTTGACTTACTTTAATGATTTTTATTGCAGTTACTAGAACATAAAAAAAAAAGACTAAAAACTCATGAACTGAAAAGACTGGAAGCTAAATATAACTTGATAAAAATAATTCAGTCCTGCTGTTCTTTGCTTATTAAGCAGAAAAGCTCTTCATTTAAACACTGAATGCTGGTTTACTGTTGTTTAAAACCCACAGACTGAAGTCTTGTTGGATGAAGGTCTTTCATTTTTCATTCTGAGTGGTGAAGAAGGCTCAGCTTTGGACCAGTCGTCAGAGCAGGTTAGATTTGTTCCCCTCTCTCCCACATCCTTGCTATCAGGAAAAGCAACTCTTTCTTAAATGTATAAAATGTAATAGTTGGAGAGAGATGACATTTTTATTATTGTGCCTTCCTTTTTTCTTTGAAAAGATAAATTGTTCATAATAATAATAATACCCAAAACTTATTGAGTGCTTACTTGATACCCAGTGATATACTGTTTACAAAGTGGACCCTGAGAGATAGGTTTTATTGTTATCTTGACTCTTGAGGTGAGGGAACCTGGGCGCAGAGAGCTGAGCACTGATAGAGATGGGGAGCATAAGCTCTAAGCCCGTGTTTCCTTCCTTTGCTATTCTGCCTTCTAAGTGCTTCATGTTGTTCTCCATGATCTTTGTTAGACATGATAGTTTCCCCAGTCTCCATCCCTCAGAGGCCAATCCTAGACCCTTCCCAGTCCCTCTCACACTCTTCAGTCTACTGCTGCTCTGTGCTTGCCCTTTCCTGCAGTATTAGTCTCACCAGTCTTTCCCTGTCCTCTCCTGACTTGTCACTCTCACTAGCCCCCCTATTTGCTCCTGTTGCTATAACTTTCTCCAGTTCCTCTGAACCTTTAAATCTCTCCACAGTTCTCTCGAGGCCCCCACCACCCAGAACATCCTATTCCCAATCATCCCACCTAATGTCTTCTGACACCTCTCAGTCATTTCTGCATCCCCCAGGTCCTCCTTTCAATTGCTCTTGAACCCCCATTTCTCTTCTTACTTACTCCCCAATCTGTTCCAGTTTTTTCTTTGCATTCTCCTCTAGTCTTTTCATTCCTTTTTCGTTAACTGCTTTTTCCACAATGAAAACCTTGTCTTTTAAAATTTTGAACAAATAAAAATGTTCACAAATAAAAATGTTAAGTATAAAAACTTAATGCAGAAAACCATGAGAAATAAAATGAAAATCATCTGAAACCCCACTGTCCTGAAATAAGCACTAATTGTCATTCTTTCTTATCTTTCTTGTACTTATGCCCATACATGCACACACACAGAGGTTATATAAACAACCATAGTAGTAAATGGCAGTTCCAATTTTTCAATAACTCAGCCAAATCTTGGTGTCATCCTTGGATCCTCTTTTACTCACATGCCTCAAATCCAGTTCATCACAAATCCTGTTGGCGTTACCTTCAAAGGTATTACCTGACTCACTTTTTTCTACCTTTATAGGTATCACCCTAGTTTAAGTCACCATAAATTATCTTCTGGACCATTGTCATAGTCTCCCTCTAAATTCACTGTTGCTCTTATAACCAGTTTTCCATACCATACAATAGTCAGAGTGATCCTGTTAAAAATCTGAGAAAGGCCATTCTGAAATAAAAGCTGAAGTCCTTACAGGAGCCTTCAAGGTTTACATGCTGTGTCCCCCTTAGTACCTCTTGACTTCATTTCGATTCTCCTGTTTTCCTCCCTCTCACCTAACTTCCCACCACATGAATGTCCTTCTGTTCCTCACAACATGCTCTTGCCTTATGGTCTTTGTACCTGTATTTCTGCCTAGAAGATTCTTCCTTATCCTCATGCTTTATCCCATATTGTCTTTGGGACTCTGTTCAAATGACACATTATTAAAGATACTGTGTCTATATGTTATAATCTGTATGTACAAATATAGACCGTATAACACATATGTTATAGTTTATCATACACATATCATAAGCTTCTATGTTAAATCTTCTTTCTTTTTCTTAAATATCTTCAAGGAAATATGTCTATTCCACATTATTTTGGGTAATATTGCTCTTTGAATGATTAAAAAGAAAGGTGGAGGGGGTTAAGACCATATGGTCTGATAACTTTAGATTATCATACTTGATATATAATGGTCCAGTATCTCTGGGCATTTTCCATAGGACAGGAAAGGTTTAAGTTAGTTCTATTTCAGCAGTCTTTCATTGGGTAATTGCAAAAATGGATTATTGAAAAATCGTGTTGTATAATACTAAGCCTTAAATTAATTTCTCAAGGAAGTTTCATTATAAGAGTTTCAGCTAGCACTTGTCTGGGTGAGGTGAATCAGAAAGAAATATTACAGTAAAGTTCTAGTACACTTATCTTCATATTGACCATTGGGGACAAGGATATAGACTTATTTTTCTTTTTGGTATTCAACAGAAGTCAGTAAATGATAGTTATTTCAAACACTTTTCCCTTGGTGATAATTCACAAAATGTTGCTGAGAGCCAAGATGAAGATTTTATGGAAGAAATCCTTTTTGCAGATTTAATTGAAATAAAAGCTGCAGAATATGAAGATGATCAAGAACAAATCAAAAAACAGCAGATAAATATTTTTGTTCCAAGTAGTTCCCCAGGTAATGTTCTTTTTCAGTAAAATATTTAAGTCATTAATGAGTCCATATTTAGGATAATCACTTCTTTGTATGCTGGATTAATAAGAAGTATTGATCTAAAATCATGTAAGTTTTCTGTATTTGTTCTTCTATTTGGGACTTTAAATTAACACCTAAGTTTTGTTATTAAGTGGCCAACCAGTGTAAACTGCCAAAAGGTATGATACCACGCATTTTAGAAGATGAAGGATTCTATGTTCAAAGAAAGCCAAAAATATATAAAAAGACCTGCAACAAAATGGAAAACCGTCTACTTAAATTAGAAAAGGCAAGTGTATCAGCTAAGAAGCTAAACCACTCATAGATAGTATGGCATTTGTTTTAGTGAATGTTTAATTAATATATTTAAAAAATATTTTTGATAGGGAAAGTGTTGGTTTGAAGAAAGTGGAGAAATAATGTCATTACCTTCACCTATTAAACAGTCATGGAATTTCAGACTAAATATAAGCAAGGAATCTTTAAATCCAGCACTAAAGACCATATATAGGAAGGTAATCAGAAACAGTTTATTTGTAATCATGATTGAAATTCTCATAATATCAATTATAAGTTGTGGTTTTATTTTTCCTTCTAAAGATATTAAGTCTGGTTAAATTGAATTAAAATATTAATTGAGTTAAAATATTACTTGGCCCTTAAGATTATGTTCTTGGTGAATATTTAATGATATGGGGAAGTGCTCAAAATAAAATGTAAAGTAGAACAAGCAGAATACAAAATTATGTCTGATCCTAATTTGATAAAAGTAAGTAATGAGTAGTATTCAAAGTAACTACTAATATAACTTCTACCACTGTGATTACTCTTGCCTGTTAATTTTGCCTATTTCACAAAAATTAAAATCATAAAACTAAGTACTCTATGTTGTGTGCAACAATAGTTTGCTCATTTTTTTCCTAGGTAGAATGGTATGAAAAATACATTTATTTATTTACCTCTTCTGCTATTGATACAAGATGCATCCAGTATTATCTATTACTAATAACACTGCTGTGTAATTTCTGCACATGCATTCTGACTAATATGTGTATGTATTTTCTGTTGGGCAAATATCAAATGCTGATTATAAGTTTGTATGTGTTCTGTTTACTATATAAGGCCAAACAGTTTTCCATTTGACTATAGGAAATGATACACAAACCAGAAGCTTGTGAGAGTTCTGTTTTAAATTCTTGCCAATAGTTGGTATTGTCTATCTTTTAAATCATGCCCATTATGGTGTATGTAAGTGGTATTTCCTTAATGTCTGGTCATTTTGTGCTTTTATCTGGGCTTTAATCCATTGTTGCCCTGATCTTTGTGCTTTTGGTATAACAAGTTATCTGTTTCAAGAAGCCTTTTTAAGCCTCTCAGTTAATCACTGCTTATAACCAGTGTGTCTGGGAGCTTACTGCCACCCAGGAGAATTCATTCCAGTGTTGCACAGTTCTCATTGTTTATTATTTTCTGTTATTGAACTAAAATCTGCCTCCTGATCACTTCTACTTATCTGACCTTGTTTGGCCAGCAGAGAACTCATAAAGTACTTCACCTGTATGATACCTCTTCAGATATGTAAAGCCTACAGTCACTTCTACCTTTAGCTTTTGCTCTCCAGTCTAAACTCACTTCCTTTGGTTGTTGTTAGAAATTTCACCATCTGTTACTGTCCTCTAGCTCCTGAGTACCACAATCAGTAAGTACTCAACAAGACAAAATCAAAGGCAAAGGTTTATGTCACTCTAATAGAAACCTAAAGCAAGTAGCAACATAGTTATTATCCATCTTGCGCCGAATCTGCTTAACCAGATGGGCATCTCTCATTTGTAATTTAGTTGTTTAGAACTGAAGCTGTTTATCCCCCTTGGTTTTTTTTTTTTTCCTGGTGATGACCAGTTTACCAGTTTGTAACCAATTGACTAAATCCCTTAGGTGAAATCTGAGTTGGCCCTTACATAGAGAATAAGAACTTAACAAATATTAATTTTTTAAAAACAAGCTTTATGGCCATATTCCCTGAAATTCAGTAAGGAAGACAGGAAGGTTCCCAACTCAGGAAAGAGTAGGGAGGCAGAGATTTAGCCACCATTCTGGTGGCCTACAGTCCTTGAAGATCCTTGATCCTGCCACTACAGATTTGGAGTGAGGCAGCACTTTTTTTCAGCATAACAGCAGCTGTACTACAATAGTATAGTTATAATACAGTACCACAGAGCATGTAATTTTTAAAGAGAATAGGTTTGTTTTGTCTCATTGTCCTGGTCCAGAATTGAAGGACTACATCTGGGGATGATCTTGTTCGCAGTGTTCTCAAAAGACCCAGATCATCACATGATGATAGGCAGGGAACATTCAAGAGATCTAGCCGAACTGTCTTTTATATTAGTTCCACTCTCAAGATAACCCATTAATCATATGAATGGGTTTATCCACTCATGAGGCAAAATCCTAATCACCTCTTTAATGGCCCTACCTGATCTCACCTCTTAATATCTCATAGTGGCAGTTAAATTTCAAGATGAGTTTCAGAAGGGACAGCAACATTCAAACTATAGAAGCATGCCATTTTATACCATACTAACCCAGGGAGAGGAGCTCAGTGCTCTCCTCAGGTGGATACAGTCATGGCTCTTACTGGGGGTGGCTATGCATTAATGGATTAGGCTCCCTGTTAAGTAATTCCCCCACCTCAAATTATATTGAAAAAACCAATCACAGGCATATTCAGATACACATGCTTAAATTCAAAATAGTGGGTGAAACATGCATGAATCATTTTGCATATAACTTAAGTTCTATAGACTTCAACTAATTTGGAACAATCTAGTACCCCTAGATGGAGACAGTCTCATATACAAAGAGTATTTGTTAATGTAGAATTTGCTTAAATGATCCAGATAACTTAGTGGAATTTTCCAGATGACTATCAGTAAAATGATTTAGAAACAATGCTTTAATAAGTCATCATTTAGCTCTGATACACAGATGAACAATACACCATCATGTAACCAAACTCAACCCAAAAGTTAATATCTGTCATAATGTCCCTACATGAAATTTTCATCTTATAATTTGAAAGTACAACTTCCACTGGTAAACAATAGTGAGGTAGATGGCAATAGACCATAGCAATATAATTAAAGTGCTGTAATCCAAATATATTTTAAAAATTTAAGCCATAATCAATTTCAAAGAAGACTGAATTATTGTTTTTAGCTTTTCCATATCTTTTGATTTTTCTACAATTGACATGTTTCTTGTAATTTAAAAAGGAATAGCATAAAATTAACATTGTATACACATTTTTCTTTAAAAGGCAATTAAATATGATCTAGGAAGCTCTTTGAAGAGCAAAATGGAAGGTCACAGAGAAATGTACCAAATAGATCTCAACATTGTGGGTTTGCAATTCAGCCATCACCCTCTCTTCAATAAAGAACAAGTATTATGTGCTAGGCTGCTCCAATTTTATGAATGTTTTCAGGAGAGACAGCAACAGAATTTACCTCAGCTGCTGTATGAGAAGGTGAGAACGGCTTTTGTTTTAGTTATAGAGCTGAACATTTAATAATCAGAAAGAAAAAGATCTTAGTACAGATCAAGTTATTGTAGAATATTTTCCCTTAGCACTGTAAATATTGAACCAATTAGAACAATGGTTTGATTTCCATTTTTCTGAAAAGAAATTAGGACTAGACTGTCTGAAGAGATAGCTTCAGACATCCTGCAGAATATTTTACGCATGTAAATAATTTACTTACTAATCAGTGGTATTGTTGGTCCTATGACTCAATAAGAATATTTAAAAAGAGTAGGACTTAAAAGAGTCATGTATTTCTTTTTTAAATATATTTTAAAAATTTTTTAGTTGTAGTTGGACACAATACCTTTATTTTATTTCTTTATTTTTATGTGGTGCTGAGGATCCAACCCAGGACCTCACCGTACTAGGCGAGCGCTCTACCTCTGAGCCACAACCCCAACCCTTGTGTAGCTCTTTTATAATAAAATTTTTAGTAAAAATATCAGAGATCATGAATCCCAAGTCAAATTTAAGAGTCTTGACTTAATTCAAATATGATGGATGACTAATCCAAACAGTCATTTAATGACATTATGAAGGATATATAAATTTTGAAGAGGAATAAATGGGGCTACCTACCAATTATTTTTGCAAACTTGTACCTCTTGTTTAAATTCTCTGCTGAGTTTCTTTCAGGAAAGGCAGTTTGATAAATCTCTTTCAACTAATTAGTACCTTTGAAATTAAATACCTACCTAATGAGATATTTATTTAATTAAATAGCCAATTCTGTTAGTCACCAAGACATCTCAGTAAGCTTGACATGAAACTACACCTTAATAAATGTTTGCTTTTAAAAAAATATTTGTTTAGTTGTAGATGGACACAATATCTTTATTTTATTTGTTTATTTGTATGTGGTGCCAGGCATCGAACCCAGTGCCTCACGCCTGCTTGGCAAGCGCTCTATCACTGAGCTGCAACCCCAGCCCCATAAATGTTTGCTTTTTAAGATGTAAATACAAAAACCATAGGACTTATTTGAATTTTCATGTTAGGCATTGTGTAGGAAAATTTAATAGATGAACACCACCAACACTGGAATAAGACAGACATTGAATATTCTAACTTTTCACTTACTACAGCCATTGTTTTCATGAATGGAGGAACCAACTCTGAAGTTTAGATTCAGGTCACTAAAAAAGTGTCATGGTTTATAGATTTCTACTTTATACAATTTTCTCCAACAATGTTATCTCATCTTTAAAGTCTAATTTAGCAATAATGATTTTATTTCATAGCATACTATCTATTTATATATATAGAAATTTCAGGTTTATTTTTTCATATAGTATGCATGGCTTTGCATAAAATAATAACCTCTTAGGATCATTGTTTGTAATATATAATGATATTAATGTTATTGATTCTTAGGTAATAGGAATTCTCTAAGAAAAACGATCATTCAAGGGTAATTGATAGTGTCTGATGTCTGATGTACAAATTATAAAGATAATTTTTTTATATTTTTGTGATATGTCTGCACGTGTGTGTGTGTGTGAGTGTGTCTGTGTGTAATTTCTAGGCTTTTGTTCTATCTAGAATTTATAGCTGTGTCTTTGGCAAAGCTGAATTCCAACTCAATACATAATCTCCCAAAAGTTAGCCTAATAGTTAAACAGCATCATTTCTCTACTGACTTCAAATTCTGCCTTTCTCATAAAGCAGCTGGACATAGTGATATAATCTTGTTTAAGGATTATTTATTCCACTGACATATTGGTCTAGTCCTATCCTGTTTTCATTATAATATTTAATAATTAGACTCTGATATGTCATGGGACAAGTGCCTTCTCTTTATTGTCATTTCTAGAGTGTTTTTGAATACTTTTATAGATTTGATCTTTCATGCCAACTTTGGAATTAGTTTGCCACCTTCTTTTTTAAAATTCCTGTTACTGTTTTTAATGTGATTGCATTATATCATTATATTAATTTTTATATTTATTGGTTCTTACATATGATAGTAGTTATTATATTAATTTTGAAAGAAATCTTATCTTTATAAAAATTGGATTTCTTCATCCAGGAATACAGTGTCTTCCTATTTGTTTAGGTCCTTTCATTTGTCTTCCAGTGAAAGTTGTGAGCAGTTTACTTTAGTCTTAAAGTTCCCACAAGTTACCCTTAACTGACACATTTCTCCTGCAAGGATTTTAGGATATAGTTTTCTTCAGTTTTATTTCTCTATAAAAATATGTTTAAGATATGTGTTTTATACATTCTCAGTATATCTTTTTTCTTGATTTTATTTTTTCTTATTTTCCTATGTTGTTATGCATTTATATTGTTATAGAAAGGCATAGATAGTTATCAATATAGGTTTTCAGGTGTGGATGTGATGATGGCAAAATCTTTATGGATAGACAGATTTTTTTCTGTAACCATGAGATTTTAGGTGGAAGATAAGATATATATCTGTACTTGATTTGCCATCTAATGGCATTTCTTTATCAATCGATAAACTGATTGCCTAGTATATTCAAGGTATGATATTTATTCTTAGATATTGAGGCTCTTCTCAGTTCTGACCCAAGGTTTTTATATGAAATATATTTTGGAAGATGAAATAATAATACACAAACTAGTTAAATATTTATGCTTCTGCTGCAAATCCTTATACATTTACATATGTACAGATGAATTGGAATAATGGTTACAAGTGGATGAAATATAATAAAGAGCTTTTTTCTTTGTTATAGCTGAAAGCACTGACAAATGCTATCAAAACAGAAAGTGAAGTAGATCAGCTTACCAAAAAATCTTTACAAGACTACTATTGGCAGATAAGGTAGGTTTTAAGCTATTCATATATTAATCAAATATTTAATTAACTTTGGGTTTGCACTTGAAATGGAAGATATAAAATAATAAAAATATAAGAGGTCTACTCTTTTTTCTGCATTTTTATTGGTGCATGATAGTTGTATATATTGATAAGATTTGTCATTATGTATTCATACATGCATATAATATAACAATATAATTTAACCAATATCAACTCCACCATTTCCCCACTCCCTCCCCGTCTTCCACCATTGGTCCTTTTCCTCACCTGCTCTCCCTTTGATTTTTAGGAGATCCACCTTCACCTTTCTTTTGCTCTCTAGCTGCCACATGTGAGAGAAAACTTGACCCTTGACCTTCTGAGTTCGACTTATTTCCCTTAACATGATGATCTCAAGTTCCATGCATTTCCCTGCAAATTACACAAATTCATTTTTCTTTATGCATGAATAAAATTCCATAATGTATATATGCTACATTTCCTTTTATCCATTATTTTGGATGGACATGTAGGCTAATTGCTTGGTGGACATGTAGGCTAATTCCACAGTTTGGCTATTGTGAATTGTGCTGCTATAAACATTGATGTAGCTGTGTCATGGGTATGCAGGTTACCATTCTAGTAAGATGACTTTAATTCTTCAGGATAAAAAACCAAGCAGTGTATACCTGGGTCATAGGATGGCTCCATACCTAGTCCTTTAAGGGACCTCCATACTGATTTCCATAGTAGTTGTACTAATTTACTACCAAGTACTACAAAGGGTGTAAAATTGTTCCTTTTTTTCCACATCCTATCAAGCATTTATTATTATTTATATTCTTGATAACTGCTATTCTGACTGGCATGAGATAAAATGTCAGTAAAGTTTTGATTTGCATTTCCCTAATTGCTAATAATGTTGAACATTTTTTTCAAGATTTGTTGAAGAGCATTATTCTTTAAGAAATTATAGAAATGGCTACAATATTTCCTTAAGACTCTTTTATGTAAAAATATTTTAGAGTACCATGAGAAAGTAGTTGTAGTTTTAATATGCATTAATTTTGTTGTTGTGCTGGGGATTGAACCTAGGGCCTTTCACATGCTAGGCAAGCACTATATCCTAGCTACACCCCCAACCCTAATATCCATTGATTTTTTTTAAAAAAAAAATATTTGTTGAAGAAAAACTACTATGATGGCACCAATGCTTTTAGATTATTTCAGTCTCAGGTGTTGTATATATTTGGTAATCCCTATACATTTACATATGTGCAGGATATTTTATTTAGTCTAAAGATAATACATCATGACCATTTGGATTTAAGGGCTCCTATTTAAAAACCTATATTTTACAAATTAGAAACATTGGACTAGTTGGGAAGAGAAGTTATAAAAACATGAAATAACTGTAAAAATAACACTAAAATAAAATAATCATGTCAAGGAATCCCCAAAAGCAGGAAAGCTCACTGCAAGGTACTTCTGCGTAGAAAGTTCAACTGTGTAGTGCTTTTGGTAGCATGACATTCCTCATAGAAACAGAAAAAGTAATCATGAAATTCATTTGGAAAAATAAGAGACTCAGAATAGCTAAAGCAATCCTTAGCAGGAAGAGTGAAGCAGATAGCATCACTATACCAGACCTTAAACTATACTTTACAGCAAAAGTATCAAAAACAGCATGGTATTGGCACCAAAAAAGACTGGTAGACCAATGGTACAGAATAGAAGACACAGAGACTAACCCACATAATTACAGTTATCTTATATTAGACAAAGGTGCCAAAAATATGCATTGGAGAAAAGATAGCCTCTTCAACAAATAGTGCTGGGAAAATTGGAAACCCATATGGAACAAAGTGAAATTAAACCCCTATCTCTCATCATGCACAAAACTCAACTTAAAGTGGATCAAGGACCTAGGAATTAAACCAGATATTCTGCATCAAATAGAAGAAAAAGTAGGCCCTAATATTCATCATGTGGGATTAGGCCCCAACTTCCTTAATAAGACTCCTTTAGTGCAAGAATTAAAACCAAGAATCAATAAATGGGATGGACTCAAACTAAAAAGTTTCTTCTCAGCAAAAGAAACAATCTGTAAGTGAATAGAGATCCTACATCTTGGGAGCAAATTTTTACCCCTCACACATCAGATAGAGCACTATCTATATAATCTATATAAGGAACTCAAAAAGCTAAACACCAAAAAAAAAAAAAAACAAATAACCCAGTCAATAAATGGGTCAAATACCTGAAGAGACACTTCTCAGAAGATGATCTACAATCAATCAACAAATACATGGAAAAAATGTTCATCATCACTAGCAATTAGAGAAATGCAAATCAAAACCACTCTAAGATTTCATCTTACTCTCGTCAGAATAGCAGCTATTATGCATACAAACAATAATAAGTGTTGGCGAGGATTCAGGGGAAAAAGATACACTCATACACTGCTGGTGGGACTGCAAATTGGTGCAGCCAGTCTGGAAAACAGTATGGAGATTCCTTGGAAAACTTGGAATTGAACCACCATTGGACCCAGATGTCCCTCTCCTTGGTCTATACCCAAAGGACTTAAAAACAGCATACTACAGGGACATGGCCACATCAATGTTTATAGCAGCACAATTCATAATAGCTAAACTGTGGAGCCAACCTAAATGCCCTTCAGTGGATGAATGGATAAAAAAATGTGGTATATATACACAATGGAATTTTACTCAGCAATAAAAAGAGTATAAAATCATAGCATTTGCAGGTAAATGGATGCAGTTGAAGAAGATAATACTAAGTGAAGTTAGCCAATCCCAAAAAAACAAATGCTGGATGTTTTCTCTGATATAAGGTGATTGACTCATAGTGGGGTAGGGAGAAGGAGCATGGGAGGAATAGACAAACTCTAGATAGGACAGAGGGGTGGGAGGGGAAGGGAGTGGGCAGGAGGTTAGAAATGATGGTGGAATTTTATGGACATCATTATCCAAAGTACATGTATGAAGACATGAATTGTTGTGAACATACTTTATACAGAGGTATGAAAAATTACATAAAGATCTCTATATGTGTAATAATAATTGTGATGCATTCTGCTGTCATGTATTTAAAAAATAAAAGCAATTAAAAATAAATAAATAGATAGATAGATAGATAAAACAACTGTCTTAAAGGTGCCCAAAGAAGTAAAGGGAGATGAGAAAAAATCCAAGAAAACATTTATGGACAAAATGGAAATATCATTAAAGATATAGAAAATTGAAAAATGAAAGAAATTTCAGAGCTAAAAAGTAGAATAACAGAAATTTTAAAAATCACAAGAGGGATTTAAAGGCATATTTGAACAAAGAGAAGAGTCAGTGATCTTAAATATAGGACAATGGAAATTGTAGAGTCTCAGGAATGAAAAGAAAAAAATATTGAAGAAAAATAAACAGAGCTAAGGGACTTCAGGGATGCCACCAAATTGACCAATATACTCATTGTAGGAGATCCAGAAGGAGAAGATAGAAAGGTGGAGAGAGATTATTCAAAGAAACAGTGAATGAAAACATCCCAAATTTGATGAAGGGTATGAATGTAAATATTCAAGAAGTTCAGCAAAATCCAAGTGAGATGAACTCAAGGAGACCCACAGCAAGGAACATTATAATCAAATGTTCAAAAGACAGAGCCTAAGAGAGAATCTTAAAAGCAGCAAGAGAAAAGCAACTCATCATATGCAAGAGATTCTCAATAAGATTATCAGCAGATTTCTCATCAGAAACTTTGAAGACCAAAAAGCAGGGGTTGGTATATTCAAAGTTCTGAAAGAAAACAAAAATCTGTTAACCAAGATCCTATATCCAGCAAAAATGTCCTTTAAAAGTGAGGAAGAAATTAAGATGTTTCCAGATAAACAAAAGCTGAGAGAATTTGTTACCACTAGAACTCCCCTGCGAGAGATGTTTAAGGGAGTCCTACAGGATGAAATGAAAGAATTCTAGATAGTAACTCAAAATTACATAAATAAAGATCTCAATAAAGATAAATAGCATGGTCAATGATAAAAACTAGTATTTAACAAGTATTTGTTTTTTACTTGGTCAATGATAAAAACTAGTATTTAACAAGTATTTGTTTTTTACATGGTTTAAAAGACTAATGCATTTAAAATAATTATGTTTATGTTTTGGGATACAGAATATTTAAAGAGAATTTTGTGATATCAACAATTGAAAGGGATGGTGACAGTCACTAAAAGAGCAGGGTTTATACTATTAAAGTTTAAGTTGGATAAATTCAAGTATTTATACAGAGTATTACTTGCCATTAGTGTTATTTATTATGAGTATTATAATTTTAGCAGTCTCCATGGAAACTGCAAAGAAAGAATCTATGAGTGTACACAAAAGGAAATGAGAAGGGAATTTAAAAACTTCCCTTTAAAAAAATCAACTAAACACAAAAGAAACTATAATGCAGAAAATAAGAGAAAAAAAAACAAGCTTTAAGAGATATGAAAAACAAATAATAGAATGGTAGAAGTGTGTCCTTTCTTATCAATAGTTAACTTGCCAATTAAGGATTGGCGAGGGGCTGGGGATGTGGCTCAAGCAGTAGTGTGCTCACCTGGCATGCGTGAGGTCCGGGTTCGATCTTCAGCACCACATACAAACAAAGATGTTGTGTCTGCCGATAACTAAAAAATAAATATTAAAATTCTCTCTCTCTCTCTCTCTCTCTCTCTCTCTCTTAAAAAAAAGGATTAGCCAGTATTGACAGGAAAGATAAAAAATATGTGATCCAGTGAATATAGTCTGTATGAGACACTTTAGATCCAAAGATGCAAATAGCTTGAAAGTAAAAGTACAGAAAATGAAATTTTATACAAATAGTAACTAAAGAGAACAGGGATGGCTCTGTTAAAATTAGACAAAATCTACCTTAAAAATCCCATAGAAGAAAAAAAATAGCAAAAAATTTTTTTTGAAGAATCAAACAAAAATTCAATGAAGGACTACCATTTCTAGTAATGCCAGTCAACCATCCTTCCAAAAACAACTAAAAAAGAGTGGATGAAATATATATATATATATTTCTCTTAAATGCACCAAAGACACAAGAAAAAAATTGAGAATAAGGAGGATACCAGACATCAAAGGAGCTCAAATAAGTGAGCCATCTCTGTCTTGGGGTATGAGCCCCAAAAGAGAAGTAGCTGGGAGAGAGAGTTCACTTTTGTCAAACTGGGATAAGAATGGGGTAATTGGTAGATGAAGTGCAGGTTGTTCTGAGGACAGGGAACAGAGTTCTATAGGAACCAGAAGTAAACAAATCCCATCCTCAGCCTCCACACACTATATTGATAGAGGTAAGCTAAAATTTAGAAAGGTTTATCAAAGAGACATTATAAGCTGACATTTGAAAGAGAAAATAAAAAATTTAGAGGGAGGAAGCCAGACTCCACAATGCACTCTTGTAACCTCAGCAATACAGGAGTCTGAGGCAGAAGGATTACAAGTTTGAGGCCAGCCTGGGCAACTTAGTGAGACTCTGTCTCAAAATGAAAATGGCAGAGGATGTTGTTCAGTGGTAGAGCACCCCTGAGTTAAATCTCCAGTACTACAAATAATAATAATAATAATAATAATTATTATTATTATTATTATTATTAGAAGGATGAAAAATACAGTAACCAAAGTTAAGAATCCATTAAGTTGTCTTAATGGATTAAGCCTAAATTCATAAATTTATGGATAGGTTAAAATAAACTAGCCAAAATTAAACACAGAGAAACAAAAAGATGAAATATAAAAATGAGACTATAAAAACACAAGATACAGCAAGAAAATCTAACATGTATTTGAGTCCTAGAAAGAGAAGAGAAAGAAAATGAAGCAAAATGATAACCAAAGAGGTGATGTTAGATTTCCTATAGTTGATGGAAAACATCCATCTATTATTTCAAGAAGCCCAACAAACCCAAGTAGACACCTAAAAACATTATGTGGATTAAGACAAAGAATATATTAAAAGCAGTCAGAGACACAGATATGTCTTTATACTTACTGGAATAGCTATTATCTAAAAAAAAAATTGGTGAAAAATGTGGAGAAATCTGAGCTCTTTCGCATTGCTGGTTGGAATATAAAAAAGCAGCCTCTATGGAAAAAATATATTGTGGTTCCTCAAAAAATAAAAATGTAGATTAGTGGTTGAATGCATGCTTAGCATGCACAAAGCCCTGGGTTTAATCCCCAGGACCCCACACAAACAAATAGAATTGCCATGATGTAGCAATTCTATTTCTGGGGTATGTATATCCAAAGAAGTGAAACCAGGGTCTTGAATGGGTATTTGTACATGCGTGTTCGTAACATATTCACAAATATATCCAAAAGGTGGAAGCCACCCAAGTGTCCAGCAGTGAATGATATTCATAATAGCATGTCTAATATAAACAAAATGCCATATATACACACAATGTAATGTCAGCCTTGAAAAGGAAGTAAATTCTGGTGTATGCTGCAGCATGGACAAAATATAAGAATATCATGCTCCCATGGTTTGAATATTTGTTCCTTCTAAAACTTAGGTTAAAATTTAACTGTAAATGTAATAGTAGCGAGAGAGGTATAGCCTTTAAAAAGTGATTAGGCCATGGAGTTTCCGCCCTTATAGGTGGGCTTAGTGACTGAATAAAAGGACTTTGGGGAGTGCTTTCTGTATCTGGCTATCTCTCCTCCCTTCTGCCCTCTGCCTTATGATGAGGCACTTGAAAAGCTACACTGAGGAAGTGATATAAACTGACTTTTGAAAGGTGTCCTCAAGCACTTTAACTAAATAATAATTCTTCCCCAGCACTTCCTTAGAGTGATTCAAACTATCGTACGGGGCCACCACCATCTTTTCCATCAAGATCTCTTGAGATTTTGGCATCCTAAATTGGAACTAGTCCACATCCTAGTGGCTTTGAAGATACCAGTTTGAACTTATTAGATGGCAAAATAAAAGCTGTGAAAGCATCAATCTGCCAATACAAGTGAAAGCATTGAAAGCATTGCCTTTCTTTTTCATAAATAGTGAAGTTAATTAAAATGCTACAGAGCCTGCAAGAATAGTTGTCACAATGTATGGGTTTCCCACCCTTTCTTTCACTGTTCTTTTTTTCTTATTTCTGTAGTACTTCAAGATCTTGTGGAATTCATGGTAGGATATTTCCTTTTTCAGGAGAATTTTATTTTGTCAGGGCACTTTTGAATAGTGAAAAACCTTCAAGGAATTATTTTTTAATGATTAAATTTCAGTGGGTAGAATTTTTAAAATAAGATGATGGGGGAAAAAAATAAGGGACCGAAAGGAGTAGTTCTAACATATTCTTCCAGACCATTTTTAAGGACTTACAGTTCTAATGCACCAACTTATATTTGATCTGCCATTATTGTCATAGAAACACAAAACAACTATATGACTTAGAAAAAGAAAAGAACCTCTCCCTGCTACACAGTATGTTACAGACCTGGAAACAGATAAAATCCCTGAGACTACGTCAAGGATTTACAAGCACTCCAATAAAGTTGCAGTTTCAGAGGTAAGTGTTTGCTCTGTTTACTCCTATAGTTTCTCTGAGAAACAGCCCAGGAATAAGTGGGACTTCTTGAAACTAGACAACTGTTCCACGTAGTGTACAAAGGACATATATCGTGAAGTCAGACAATTTTTACAATTTAGTAAGAAGACAATCCAACTTAATAATGGGCAAAGGCTTTGAATAGATACTTCACTAAAGAAGATTTATGGATGGCAAATAAAAACATGAAAAGATTCATAATATCATGTCATATCAATAAAGAAATTTACATTAAAACTGCAGTGAAATGCCACTACATACCTATTCAAGTAACTAAAATCCAAAACAGTGAAAAGAAACAGAGGTTAGCAAATGGCTCTTTTTAATAAAGTTTAAAATAGACTCAACAATCATACTCTTAGGTGAAACATTTTAGGTAAGTGGCCAAAGTTATAAAAACATATATACTAGAAGAAATGTCATTATAGTTCAAAACTAAATTTATTAATCACTTAAGTTACTTATGAACTCATAGTGAAATAGTCAGTTCCTTCCCCACAAGTTCAGTGTAGTTTTAGGCCATTAGGAAAGATGTTTATTTTACTGATATTTTTTTTTCTGCTGCAGTAGATTTTAGCAAAAGTACATCTGACAGTTTCTTAACCTAAGCCCACCGTGGAACTTTATCTTAGATTCCTAAATTAATGTAAACTTGATAACTTGACTTGTCATACCTATATATCATGATCCCTTGTATAAGAAAGAAGAGCTACACGTAACATAAATAGACCCGTATTGCCTGCCCACCACCACTTTCTGTTCTCACTATTCTGAACTCCAATCCCACATGAGACCCTTTTTTTCTTACTCACATTTAACATTCAGCTTTCTCAGTAGACCTGGGCTTACATTCACTTCTCCAGAATACTTTTAACAGCCTATTGAGATATAATTCACATACCATTCAGCTCACCCACCTAAAGTATGCAGTTCAATGGTTTCTAATATATTCACAGAGTTCCAAAACGGTCACCACAATGTAATCTTAGAACATTTTAATCTTTCCCAAAAGACACCCTTTTCCCCTTAACTTTCACTCCTCAGGTGTGGGCATGTTTTCAATTCTCTTGGGCATACCTAGGAGAGGAATTGCTGTGGCAAATGATAACTCTGTAGTTAACTTAGTGAAGAACTGCTAGACTGTTTTCTAAAATAGCTGAACCACATGACATTCACAACAGAGCACAGAAAATCTTCCCAAATGATTTTCTTCTTAAAGTTTGAAACTAAAAAAAAATGAAACCTTATACTGAGAGGTTAAAAAAAAAAAAACCCTTAAGGTATTAGGAAAACTCAACTCCTTGGTCGGTTATTTTCTGAAAGGATTCCAGACAAGTGGGGTTTTGTTGAACTAATAAAAGAGAAAAAAAATAGTATACCCACTTTACAACATTGTGAGACTTGAAAGAGTTAATATGCATAAACTTCTTAGAACATTGCATATAGTGAATACTGTGTAAGAATTAACTAATACGAACAGTAGCAGATAGTTAATGTCAGTAATTACTTACTTTTTATGTATAAGCACCAAGGAGTATAGCTATGTTCTATACTTAATATCTGGTCACCTGCCTTTATACTTGGTCATGGTCTCATAACTTAAAAAGTTAGAGGGAAAAAAAGTGAGAGGAGACATGGTTGCCGATTGTTCTTTAGTTACATCACCCCATTCCTCTGGTTATTTATTCTCACCAGAGGAAAGTTTTCTTGATATCCTTAGAAAAGGACTGTGAATGCTAATGGTAGATTTACTAAGTAAAGAGAAATCTGTGAAAATGGAACAACCTTAGGAAGATTTTTTTCTGTTTATCATATTGTTAATTTCCTTAGGTTATAAGAGTTGGGAGAAATTGGTTTTGTGTGAGTGTGTTTGCATGTATGGGTTTTGGTAAGACCTCTAACAACTCAAACACCTTCATTATTTCTGCTTTAAATAATTCTATTTATTCTTAATTAGGACAGATATAAATAAATTTGATAAGCAGAAACAAACAGGAAATCAAGAAATGTCTCAGACTAAGAAGAAAACCAAAGGAAAAGCACTTAAGAGTAGAGGAAAACAGGAGGTATTTTTTATTGCAAAATAACATTCAACTCATTTTAAGCTAATCATAGTATGTCATTGTTTGTAGAATAGGAAATCTTGATATGTACGTGTAACAGATTCTAACAAAATGATAAATATAAGAAGTCAACTTTAATTTTAAGAATAATTGTCCTAAACAATGAATGTACCTGGTGTAAGTTATATATTTTTTATTTTTATTTTTACTTTTTTGGCTCTAGAACCTCTTATGTTTATCATCAGAGCTTGAAGAAACAGAAAATGAAATAACAGAGCCATTTTCCTTGATGCCACAACTTTCTTTCACAGAAGAATTAACACATTTATCCAAGTGTTCACTGTAAGCATTTTTAAAGAATTTTTTTTCATTACATAGCTTATTAATTGAATTAGTTTTAATAATTATTTCTTGAATGAGTGCCATATACTAGACACTCTGCTAAGTTCATTTTTTAAAAACATGCTCATGTTTGACAATCCCCATAGTTCTGTGGAGTCTAATGTTATCCTCATCTTAGAGGTGGGAGAATGCAAGCTAAAGAAGGTTAAATTGCCCAGGGTCACACATCTAATATGTGACCTGAAGTGAGACAAAAGCCAGTTTGGCTTGTCATAAAGGCTATAATAGCTTCACTAGTAAGTGTAATATATAGTCATTGTTTTATTAGGATAGTAATTTTTATTCATATATAGATAGGTGGAATATAAAACTACTGCTTAAAAAAAGCAAACAAGATTATACAGTCACCTGTGCTCATTAAAGGACCCCTTGCTCCCATAAAAACCATTCCCTATTAAGAGGACCTCCAGACAATCTCCTTCTTCAACAGTACAAATTTCATTCTATCCCACTTGTGACTTCTTCATTGAACTATGCACCTAGTAAATTATGTAAAAAACTGGCATCATACATAACCCATTTCTCTCATCTACTAAGTCTGTGGATCCAATCTCCCTTAAAGAGGATAGGGCAAGTCAGAACACTGAACTAAGTCCAGTTCCTCAACATCTCTGTCCCTTAGGAGACTTTGCTATTCTATCTTGAAGTATTTTGGATACGCACCATTTAGCATGGAGTTAGAATATAGTGGATACTCAATAACTGTTCATATTCATTGATAGTTACATTTAAAAGTGAACATTAAGAGTAGCAGACACAAAGCCACTCTTTCTAACTAGAGATGTGCAACAGTGAAGCAACACTCATTTGCTCTACACCTTCCCAATAAATGCCTGAAATCATTTATTATGTCAGTCACATACAAAAGGATCATCTAAATGAGGGGGAAAAACAGGAGCTATAAAAATATAAGTTAAAGGGAAGTAGGAAAAAGAATTGGAAGAAGATATTAGTTCTAGAGAAGCTGGATTAAAACAGTGGAAGTCAAGGCAAAACGAAATATAATATTTCATAATCTTTCTACAGCCATTGCTATCTGGTAGTGTTGCTATCCATTTAAATATCCAGCTGAATAAAAACTTGATTCTTCAGAGAAAAGTAATATGTTTATATCAAGGATAGAGATATGAAATTAATACAGAGATTGAGGAGGAATTAAGAATAGTTTAGGGCTGGGGCTGGGGCTCAGTGGTAGAGTGCTCGCCTAGCATGTCTGAGGCCCTGAGTTCAATCCTCAGCACCACATAAAAATAAATAAATAAAATAAAGGTATTGTGCCCAACTGCAGCTAAAAAAAATAAAATGTTTTTAAAAAGAATGGTTTATAGATGAAGAAGAAAGGCGAGATTTCCTGAAGATAAATATAATCCCAATTTAACAAATTTTCATAATCCATATATGAGCTCATTGTTAAAACTACTTTTAGGAAGTAGTATAAATGGAACTAGGAAGAAATACCTTTTTTCCCCTAACCTTCTGAGAAGATTACAGAGAAGATGGGCAGATAATGGGCATGGAGTTTCTGGGTGCATAGGATGATCGGTGGGGGCAAGGGAGGGGGCAGTAGAAGGAAATTTTCAGTCTCAATTTAGGGCTTATCTTTCAACAAGTGTTCTCCCTTCTCAAAAGAGGATCAAGTCATTTACATATCATTGTGTCAGTTTCCCTGCAGCTGAAAAGATGCTCCTAAAATATTGGTTGGGTGGATGAATGGATAGAGGGAAGGGTCTAGGAGTTTCATATCACTCATGGATCATTTTGTTTCCAATAAGTGTTTCCATAGAAACCTCAGGGAAGTAACCTAGTTTGTCTCTCTGATCTTTGGGTTCAGAGAAAGAATGGCTTCTCCGCTGTCTTGTGTACAGCCCAAAGCCTAGGAGATTTGCGAAGACCTTTCAAGAGGATAATAGCAGGCCTATTGCCTGTTGCACAGCTTTGAAGTTATTGAAAACACTGTGTGTGCGTAATGTGTCTTATGAAATTTAGAAAACAGATGTAAATTGTCCCCTAACCCCTGCCCCATGAGCAAGTTTTTTTTTTCTCCTACAGAACATTTGGTAGATAAATGCTGTAATCTGTTATAATTTAGTAAAATAAATAGCTAAATTATCTATAGTACCCTGATTTAGTTCTTTTTCTATTTTTGAATATATATATATACATATATATGTATATATATATATCTTAAAAACATCTGACTTGGAAGGGGAAACTTTTATCCACATATAGGCAGATATTATTTGACTTAAAGATACCATTCGTTCTCTAAAATAACTATCTTTTTAACATACTAAGATACATTTTGGAAAAAAAAAGATATTTTATAACCATTCTGTTTTCCATGGGTCATTTAAAGATTCATTTAATTTTTAGGCAAGAACAAAAGAGAAGAGCCAAAATTCAGAAGCTTAAATATTTTCTTAAAATACTTTACAACAATAAACAGGTTTCTTGCACTTCAGTATCTCATCTACAGCTTGATTTTAAAGTAATGTTTCAGCAAATTTTCAATATCCAGTTAATATATTGGCCTGAAACAGTTTGCTTGGAGGTATGCCATTGTCATTACTTTTGTATCTTATTTTTTGCCATGCATAATTTTTCATGTTAGCTACTGTTATGTGATAAGTTATTTTTATATTAAAGATGGTTTTTCTATAGTTAACAATGTGTATATAATTAATAAATGCATATTCCATCTCTCTTATGGCCTTTTATTTCATAAATACAAAATTATTTTATTTGTGGTTAATCCTGCTAAAATTCCTGCCAATCCTTGATGTGCATTATTACTGTTCATCCACGAGTGAGTTGGAAGAAGGCTGTTTAAAATATAATAAGTTTTATATCTACTAAGAACATTGAGTGATTTCTATGCATTTCCCTATCCTTGATCTGATGGCTTCAGTATTTCTGTATTTTTTCTTCATATTTTAAATTTTGATCCCTTTAAGAATCAGGTGAAAAAACATACAGGAGACTCCTGATCCCTGATCAAAGACCACTTGTACTAAAAGCAGAAGAAAATAGGATCATTTACAAATTGGGAACAATTAATAGAGTTACACAATAAGTCCTTGTGGCTAATGTAGGGGTTAAATTTGAAGCTAGACCTAAAAGTATTTATTTATTTATTTGTTTGTTTTAAGAGGGAATAAAGATTTATTTGTGTGAAGGTAGAGTTTGGAGTGTGGAGAGAATTATAATTACTAGTCTAATTTAAAATTATTTTTGTAATGCCTAGAATAATTTTGTTCTATCCCTGATTAGTGCTTTATTCATTATTTATTTACCCAAGTTTCTATCACCTGCAATATCCTTCTATTGAAGTTCCTACGTTAAAAATATGCTGAACAAGCCCAACACAGTGGTCTGTGTCTGTAATCCCAGATACTCAGGAAATTGAGGCAGGAGGATCATAAAATTGAGGCTAGCCCTACTAATTTAGTGAGACCTTGATCAAAATAAAGAATCCAAAGGGTTAGGGGTGTATATTGGTGGAAAAGAGCCTCTGGGTTCATTCCCAGTATCAAAAAACTATATTGACCAGACTTCTTACCATTGCCATCAGTGGTGTTAAAGACTGTCTCTGGGAAACCTCACTGGGTAGAATTCTTTTGTTCACTTCAGTATATCTTATTTTTCACATAGACAGTAAGGGACAAGGTGATCAAACATTTATATTTCAAAGTACAAAAGGAACAAGCATGAGTAAAATTTATGCAGAAGAACTATAGAGCAGAAGTTTGAACTTTTTGTAACCAAGACATTTTTATGAGGTGTACAGTTTTCTCCCTGAGGAAAGTGCAAATTTTTCTTTATTTCTTTGTTTTTAACTCATCAAAACAAAGTCCTGTCTACATTAACGACAGGCTCGAGAAATAAGATGATATTTTTCCAAAGGAAAAAAAAAGAGATTTTATTTGTTTGTTTTTTACTTCCTTTATCTTCTTAGAAGGTAGAATGTTTCCTGTAATTTTTTTTTTAGGGTTTCAGCTATCTTTGCAGTGAATTTCTAACAGAATATTTCTCTTGATATTTTTCTGAATCAGAGATCAAGTGGTTCTATACCAAGACTGACTGTGCTCTCAGTTAAGAATAGGAGATTTTAAGGAGCTTGAGAAAAGTAATCCAGTCTGCACTTTACCTTCCTTGCTTGCAATTCCTCTAGAACTTTTTTTCAAAATGGTCTAGAGAAGTGGATTAATTTGTCATGCCAGTTAATCGGTCCTAGGAAAATTCTGATCACTAAGGGTTTCAGAGGTTCAGTCCATCATCAGCCAACTCCATAACTCTGGACCTGAGATGACACAGAACATCATGGCCAAAGAGTGTGACAGAAGAAAGCCACTCAGTTAGTGACAGGCAGGAAGCACAAAGAGAAAGCACCAGGAGGAACTATAGAGCACCAGAAGAACTATAGAGCAGAAGTTCCATGACACAGAACATCATGGCCAAAGAGTGTGACAGAAGAAAGCCACTCAGTTAGTGACAGGCAGGAAGCACAAAGAGAAAGCACCAGGTGGAATTCCTTAGCCCTCTCCAAGGTCTAGCCTCCCACCTGCAGTCTTCAAACCTGGATTTGACAGTCCACTGAGAATGCATCTGCATACCCTAAGCAAATTGATGAGGCTGATGTATAAAATCAGAATACCAATTCAACATCTGAATATATTTATCTGTTTATTTTCTCTTTTTAATTATTTAATTTACTGATTTACAATAAGAAATTTATTTCATAGACCTACGACTCCTACAAACTTTTTTGCATTAGGAATGCCTTTGTCAAAGGGACCAGTGTGTTGGCTTAAATTCATTCTCACCAGGAAGTAGCAACCACAAGAAATATTGATCTCTTTGTCTTTCATTTTTCTTGTCTTCTTGACTAATCAGCTATCCTTTTGATTAGCTTCCTTCCTTATCTTTCAAGGGGCAGCCCCACCCCCACCCCCATCTTGGTTTTCTTCTTTTAGACCACTTATCACTGTTTCTCCAAGTACTGACAACACAGTCTAGGCCAAAAATAAGACTTTTCTATTGAAAAAGAGTTAGGTTTCTAATGATGGCAGTGAGCTTATAGGAAACTCTATAGAAAGCACAGTGTATAGAATCACAAGACCTGAGTTTCCTGCCCAGTGTTCTCTGGTGCAGTCTGCTTAGTACCTCCCTTTTTCTTCTTGTAGAACTTTCCTTCCTCCTCAGCTCCCATAACTTCTTTTTGCCTGTGCTTGGATTTCATAAGCCAATAACTCTTACTTTTTCCTACGTAATTCAACCTAGATTTCAATCACAATAAAAACTAATATAGTTTTGTATGAGGTTTCCATTTTTTTATTTGTAATGTGAGAAGAATAGTATAAGAACTTTAAAAGTGCTATACAAAGGTAAGGCATTAGGGCATTATGTTATCTGTACACAAAAGTCAGGTTATTAGGGTATTATGTTATACGTATATTCCCAATACTATATTTGTAAGCCTCATATTCTGCTCATTTTCTATGAAACCAGCAAAAGGCATTACACTTCTAAGATCACATGATTATCTACTTTCCTTTTAATCCTGTGAATGAAATCTTATTGAACAATAGCTGATTTTTAGTCTAGTATTTTTAAAAATGATATAAATATATTATTGATGGTCCTTGTATTTTTTTCTTTCACTTTTCTGTTTTGTATTTTCAGTGAGTTACCAACCATTTCTCTTTATTTAGGTTTATGAAAAAAGTAAAAGGACAAGCTTACTGGCAAAACTGTACTTACCTTTACCTAACAACACCGAAGTGAAAGGCAAAAGTGTTCTGGAATATATAGAATTTAGTTCTGATAAGCTGGTAATTCCCGTGGATGAAGAAGTAGGAAGTAGTGAGTTTATTAAATATGTTTCTTATCCCCCAGTTTTGTGCATAAGTAGCAAATCCTAAATGATCCTAAGGGACTCCAGAAATATGTGAATTAGTCTTCAAACTGTGTAGAGGATGGAGAAAGAAAAGAGGGTAGGAAGAAAGGAGGGAAGAATTGAGAAAAGGACAAAAGAAAGAAGGGATGTTTCTGTCCAATTATTTTTGCACCGATTTTACTCTTTGTCTGCAAGTATATGTAAGTTAGCAAATCTCTGAGAACATTCTTTCCTTCTTCCCAAGATTTCTTTCTTTCCACCCTAGGGATTTTTTAACCACTTGTGCCCATCTGGTGAAAAGAAAGGAGCTATGAACAAATGAACAAGGAAGAGAAACAAGAAAATAAATAGTAAAAGAGCCTGGAAAGGACAGAGGATGAGGAAGAATGTAGTCTGCCTGGAGTCCACATGAAGCAGAAAAACAGGGAGAGAGAGACTGAGGACTCAAAAAATTTAGGGAACACTAGGAACTTAGCACAAGTTTCAAGTATGTTAAACTTTGTGGAGATGGAGAAAGAAAAAAGTTGAAAGACAGAAGACTCAGGAATGTAGAGAAAGCTGGAGAAAGAGTAGCTCACATGCCCCTTTTCTGCTGCCAATGGTCCTTTCTTGCTGGAAGCCATTCCAAGAAAGAATGGCTATGAAATTTCCAGGCATAAGAAAAGGAAATCAGAAATGCTCATCCCTGTGTATTCAGCTCAATATTTCCCTCTATTTTTTGTAGTCTGCCTGAAGCTGTTTCCCTTGAGGTACTTTAGAGAGGAAATGAGGGAGTGCAGAGATAAGGGGGTCAGCATAAAACTTTGTGTTCCTAGAGGAAATGAGGAAATGTGTTCTAACTGTACATGTTCTAAAAAAATCATGTTTTTAATGCCTTTTATAAAACAGATGTGCCTTTCCTTCTTGAGGGAAATGAAACTGAAGAACTTTGTCTTTTGACATCAGGAAAACTTAGCTATTCTCTATCATGGGCCTTAAATGAAAATGGTATTCCTCTAACACCTATGTCACAGTCGAGATCTGCATACTGTAGGTAAAACATGTTGTCAGCATCCTCCTCCTCGTCCTCTTCCTCTTCCTCTGCCTCCTTCTTTTCCTTCTTTATTTTTTTTGTGTGTGTGGGTAATAAACTTTTATATTTCAAGAAGAATGCCAAGTCTCAGCAAGGTATCATACAAAATGTATGTGTAAAAAAAGGGAAAACCCAAGCAGCAGTAGAAGCAGTTTACTTTATTTGGATGTAGATTTATTCCTTTATTTAAATCACTCTACTAAGTCATTAAGTGCATTTGTAAGTAAGAGAATGTATTAATGCTTAGGATGTTAGCCACATGGATAAAGAGAAATGCATTTCCATAGCTCTTCATTTGTAGGCAGCCAAGACACCCCAGAATTTTATTTCTGGAGCTTTTAAATCTCCTAATCATTCTGGATTAACAAAGAAACATTTATGCATTATCACTTTGCTGGAAGGAAAACCCTAGAAATTTTATTCATGTTCCAAGAAATACACATGCCCCTTGTGTATTTCTAGCTCTCCATATGCAAAGTGAACATCTTAAATTCTTCAATTGGTCTTGAGCCAAGATACTGTGTTACTCACTTGGTGTCTGATTGGACAGGGATTTTGCCACAGCCCACAGCTGAACACCTACTTACAGAAAGCATCTGAGGGAGTCTTTGTAATCCAACCCTGCGGTTTTTACTACTAATATTGTTCTTCCCTGAGACAAATCATGGGATTATATTGAGATCCAATAATAACTTCTTTTCTTTAAGAGAATATAATGGGTATTCTCTTCTAATACAGTTAAGCTTTGCCTCTGGCCCTATTTTCTAGGGTATCTGGGCCAAGATCATTCTTAGAGAAGCTAATTTTGTTGCATGATTTCAGGTCCAAAAGATTTCTTATGACAAACATCAAAATAATTCAACCATGAGGGAAGAAACATGAAGTAAAGGAAAGGGAGACCACTTGAACTTCACCTATGTAATTGGCTTACATCCTACCATACCAGACATTGTCTGTATTAATAAATCCTTCAGAAAACTCTTCACAGATATACAGAAATATGAACCGATATTGATGAAAAGAAGACAATATAAAATTTGTGTTTATGTTTGGCCTGAAGCATTATTGAATCTGTGTCAGAACTGTGTTTATGGAATCCAAATTTATACTTGAGAAATTATGAATCAAGTTCTTTACAGAAGGGATCTTGGAAATCCAAATTCTTCTGCTTATACATAATGAAACAGATCATCTGTGAAGAGATTAACTGAATAATCAATGGCTGTAAAGAAATCTTAGAGTTGAATTCCTTTTACACTTAGCCTATGGCTAAAATCAATTATGAATATATTATGAATCTAGCCTTAATATTTGAAGATAATCTCATATGATCAAAGATCCTCCCTTAGACCATAGTGCCCACATTAATTGCATTGTTCTCTGTTATAATTCAATTACAACAATATAGCCTAAGAGTTTTTTTTTAATATTGTGTACTTCCTTAATTTTGCTTAAGCAATTATTTGAATTAAATTTTAATACTGTGCATCCTATGAAAAGATAATATTTAATAATTTTATTATGCTTAGGGTTTATAGAATACAGCCAATAAATACCATTCATTTAAGCATCTAATATATTTTAGCTATTCCACAGAGTGAATTACAAAGATGAATTTTTATAGAATTTATCTTTAAGAATCTTGTTGTCTCAATGGAGAGTAGACATTTAATAAAAAGCTATCATGAAGTAAAAATGGGAGAAAAATTAGGAGAGATACATATCTAATCCTTCCGTTTTATCCTTAAATGCAAATATGGATAGATTTTAGATTTAAATACCCAGAATAGGTAAGTGTTAGCCTTTATAATGATGTATAATTTGCATATTATGTGCAAATTCACAAAGTATTTTCTCTGTTAGTGTGTTAAAGAATGTAGATGCAAGAAGCATTCCTGGAATTCCCTGGCTAGTCAATGCACAGAAACTTTTTGAATGGGCAAATGAAGTCAGAATTGATCCAAATAATCCAGAATATTCTGATTTAGTGGAATTTATGACAGTAAGTTATAGCAAATAACAATACTATAATTATACTCTATTTCCTAAGCTCTACTGCCTTGTACTTTCCCATAGTTCGCTGTATATTTTTCTAGGAACTAGGGATCATATGACAGTAAATTTGAGGACAGTTTTCAGCCATTTTACTATATTGTTAAGGTAATTAGAAATTTAGCAACTAAATAATTATTACTTTAGGCCTGATGGATTTTATTCTGTCTCTAATTTCAGCCCACAGCACATTTAGCAGGCCAACCTTCAGACTAACATCCATGGTACATCTGTTATGTGCCAACCATATTATTAGACACTAAAAATATCAAGATGACTTCCCTCAAACTCCATTATCTGGTCACTTTGATTTGTCCTTATAGTCAACTGAACTGCTCTGTGTACCTACATGAGCTTTCTTTATACCTATATTCATGCCATTGCATGAAGCGGGCATTCATAGTAGCTGTCTTACCCACCCTGTAAGTCTAATTTGCATTAGACCTGTATTCTTTTTTTTCTTGCCTTCCTGCAGCCTTTCTTTTGACTCTTCTGCCTTTTATTCATTTGTGTATTACATGTTTCCTGGGGGAACCACAGCTAATAAATCTTTGTCTCTCTGATGGCAACTAGTCATGCATTTACATTTGGGTATGTTGAATAAAGCAACTCCATTAATTAGATTATTGCAACTAAGTTTTCCTAGATCAGAGCTTCCCAACTGATGGGCAGAATTGGCTACAGGTGGACAGAAATATTGTTTCTTCCTCAATTTTTAGGGCAACCAGCTAGAAGCACTCTCATATTTTCATTCTGTGTGCAATATGAATTTTTTCATTTTTTGTGTGAGAAAGGTTGGGAAGCTGGAGTCTGTATTTTTCTGGTCTTATACACAGATTTACTTGCTTCATCCCTACATATTTTGTGAATCGTAACTCTCACAGTTGAGGTGGAAGGGGAAATAGTGTTTTGAAATAATCTCAAATTTTAAAAAATAATATTTTAAGAAAAGATTTTACATTTTTGTGTCTTACAGTATATGAGATATAAGGGACAGGATATTTCAAAGTATTTCCGTCTTGAACAGTTACAAGATGAATTTAACTTTGTTTCTGAAGAGGAAATGAAAAAGAGTAAACGTTTCCAGCTTTTGCAACTTAGAAATGCTGGTCAATTAGATGTTTTCATTTTGCAGCAAATGCCTCTCTATGATTCAGAGATTCCAGATTTAGTCTTCCAGGTATTTGGTTTTTATTTGAATATGATTTATTATATGAGAAAGTTAATATTTTTTAAACCCATCTTAATTTCTTTGTTAGTATTTTTTTGGGGGGAGTTGGTACAGGGATTGAACTCTGGGGCACTCAACCACTTAGCCACATACCCAGCCACGTTTTGTATTTTATTTAGAGACAGGGTCTCACTGAATTGCTTAGGGCCTTGTTTTTGCTGAGACTGACTTTGAACTGTCAATCCTCCTGCCTCAGCCTCCCAAACCACTGGGATTATAGGCGTGTGCCACTGTGCCCGGCATTGTTAGTATTTCTTAACTAATAATCTATAGTGCCGCAGTCTGTCTGGGCACAATTCAGGAGCCACTTGTCAAAAGAAACTAACTTTATTTTTAGAACTACAAACGCCAAACAAAACAGCTCCTCAGGAAAAAAACCCTCAGAGCCCAACTGCCACCACCGGCTTCCACAAGCCTCTCACCCATACCAACCTCCCCACCTCCCCCAATCCTCCTGCTCTTGAGGCCGATTGGCTGGGTTGCGTGGGCGGAGCCAAAGAAGTCCCCCAATGAGCAGCTCCGTGGTCTGAAAGGGCAGGGAAACAGTCCAATGAGCAGCTCCGTGGAGGAGCCAATCAGCTAGATGTTGCTGGGGCCGCTGTGAGCCAATCATCAGCTGGCAGTCTGAAGGGCAGGGAAACAGCCCAATGAACATCACCGCAGAGGAGCCAATCAGCTAGATGTTGCTGGGGCCGCTGTGAGCCAATCATCAGCCGGCAGCTGGAAGTTTGCTGACAGCTGGAAGTTTGCTGGGGCCCCTTTGGCTGCAGCTCTCAACACTATAGATAGAGTTTTTCTCCCTTCTCTTTATGCATCTCCTAAATTCCAAAAAGTCTTCAGCTTCCTTTTTAGCTTAGTGTTCTTGAGACAATCTATTTAACAGCCAAAATCCTTTTTGTGTATTCTAAATTTATGTAACTTTTATTTTTGTTATCATAAAATGCATTACCAATTTAATAACAGCTTTGGGGACTGAGGAGGGAATATAACTATAGTTAAGTTATACATTTATTATAAGGCACATCTCAATTTCAGAATCTTTAAGATGTATGTGTGTGTGTATATATATATACACACACACATATATATGTATATGTATATATATATATATATATATATATATAATTTCTGTGTCCTCTAAGATATGTGTGTGTATATTTATCTTATTTGACAGTGTGCTACAACTGGCTGACTCCACCTGGTGAGAGCCTATCATGTTTACCTATTCCCAACTCTATTTTAGTGATTTCATATTGTTGCTTTAAATCTGTTCATGGCAGAGTTTTTATGCTATAAATCAACAAATGCTATAAATTGGAGCTTCTCCTCTCAGAACAAAAAAATTTGTTCTTAAACATTTATCAACATAACACTAGTCTTATAATAGATGAATTATAAGAGATGTTTCCTATAAAAATAACCAATTGTATTGTAACCCTAGCACCTGCTCTTGCTAAGAGGTAGTTCATGAAGAAAGGAATTATTTTTCCATCTCTGAATAAAATGCCTGTGCAGAAGCATTACCACTGCAGGGTGATGTCAGCAAAATTAAATAAGATACCAGATTCTGATGTCCACTCAGCCACTTAGAGGACACAGAAACAAAATCATACAGGGCTGGGCTGGGGATGTGGCTCAAGCGGTGGTGTGCTCGCCTGGCATGCATGCAGCCCGGGTTCAATCCTCAGCACCACATACAAACAAAGATGTTGTGTCTGCCAAAAAATAAAAAATAAATATTAAAATTCTCTCTCTCTCTCTCTCCTCCCTCTCTCTCTTTTAAAAAAAATCATACAGGGCTCATTACATTTAAAATTCAAGTTGCACCAGGCATGGTGGCACCTATGATCCCAGCTATGTGGGAAGCCAAGACAGGAAGGTCTCAAGTTGAAGGCCAGCATAGACAACTTAGCAAGACTCTGATTCAAAATATAGAATAAAAAGTGGTAGGGATGTAGCTCAGCAGTAGAGCACCCCAATCACCAGTACCACATACAAAAGATGACCTCATCCCAGAAACAATTATACTATATAGTCCTAAACTAAAAAGCTGATTCTCAGCGAAAGAATTGTAATGTTTTCTCCCATCAGTGCTATCATGTGGCCACTTTCCTCCTACATGTGAACAGAACTGGATAGCAATATTTTATTGTAGCAGGTCATATATGAAGCCTGTGAAACTAACTTAATTCTCTGTTTATAGGAATATGAAAGTCAGGTAGAGAAGGATATGTCCATTTCAGATGTGAATTCTATTACTGCCCAAAGGATCACTTCTGTCAATTTTCTGAAAAAGGTAACAAAAACAACACAATATTATCAGTATATTTGCATTTGTTTTTGTGAAAACTGGTGTTTTGTACACATGGTATTATATACACTTCCCTGAGAGCCAGATATACAAATCCACTTATCGTCCCCTCTTTCTAATCACAGTTCCTTTTTGGAGCTAGGTTACTTCCTGTCCAGTGAACTCATTGTTAAAACACATCCCAATCTTGAATAGGAATATTATAGACATCCCAAAGTTCATTTGGAGCACCCCACATCACAGTTATATCAAAAACTTGGTTGTGCTTTAATAATAAGTCTGCTGTTCTGACAAATATGAGAGATATGAGAGAACTCATCCTTCTTATCCCTTCTCTCTCTCATACATATATTAATATTTAATGTATAAAATATATGTAGTTTAACATATATTAACAGATATATACATATATCTTTTAATGTTTGGAGAAGCCCAGGAGGGAGGGAAGCAGAGGGCAGAAGATGGGCAAGAGAGTAGGAGAACAAGTAATGCCTACAGGAATCTTGGGAAGGAATTTTATTGAATTTCAGTCCCTGTGAAGACTTCTTTGCTATCTGAGGATGGTTAAAGCTATATGTTTGGTAGGTTACTATAATTACAGATACTTTAGATTTGACCCTGGAGGCCTATTATGGCCATAGATGCTTAATTCCTTCCTTTGCTCTAGGGTTCTTTAAGTCTTTATTGTGTGACTCTATAAATTTTGTGTGGTTCTATTGAAGGAACTCATAAGACCCGGAGTTGTGTGCACTTTACTTCTTGTTGCTTTACTAGGATCAGTGAGGACAAGGCCAGGATTATAGCAGTACAGAATGAATGGAGTCCCAGCAATCTCGAGGATTACTAGATAGATTTTTGCTGAAATGTTTGCATCTAAGAGGCTAGTGCATCTTCTCAATCTGTCCCTTTCCTTCATTTATTCAGTGAATATTTATTGAGTATCTACTACAACCTCTGACCTCTTGGAGTTTGTTTTCTGGTGGGAGAAGTCATATATAAACAACATATTATTAGTCTCTCATCAAGTAAAACATATTAGGAAATGAGGAAATAAGGACAAGAGTTCTGTGTGTATGTGTGGGTGGGGTGGGTGGGGGTATGCAATGTAAGGTGATTACAGAATCCTTTGATAAGATAATATTTCAACAGTGAACCTTGCACTTGTTTAAACCTGAAAGTGGCCAGGGAGTTTTCTGGGAAAGAGTATTCCAGGCTAATGGAACCACATGTGTAAATTCTGGGGGTAAAGCATACTTGGCCTCTGAGAGAAACAGCAAGGAACCCCATCTGCAGGATGCTAATGGAGAAAGGAAGAGAGTGAGCAGCCTTTGGTCCAGTGGGGTCTGGTTCATCTTCAAGGGAAACAATTTGTTGCCCATGTGGCAGGATAATTTTATGTTTTTTTTTCCCATTCTTCTACCACTTCTGCCTCATTTGATCAGGTAATTAGGCTCTAGGTTACATGTCCCTGGAATGATTTGTAGCAGGACAGAAAGTAGAAAATTGCAACCAGAAGCTGTACTTACTGGTTTTATATCTGTAAACCTAAACCCATTATTAAGGATAGAACTAAAAAAAAAAAAAAGAAGGCTAGAACTAAAGGAAAAAGGGAGGGGTTTCCTCAGACTTAATAGGAGACTAAAAGTAGTCTTTTGAAGAATCAAGGTCTGTTGCAAGGACTTAGGGAAATGGCTCTGTTCAGGCATTGACTTTCTAGCCAAGCAAATGGAATGAGAGCATAAGATTGACAAAGAAAATACAGAAATGTGACCAGATGTCCTTGAGTTTGTAGATTAAGACTCATGTGCTAGTGACATATAGAAATGAGCTCACAGGGCAGTCATCTTCTCTGGTGAAGAGTAGTTCTGGCTATGTATTCTTTGAGTTAGATGGGAAAAAAAATGAGCAAGGAATTTAGGATGAGATGTGATGGACACAGAAGGGAAAAATGAAAAAAAGTGAATTTGCTTTAGTGTGACAGCGTATGTTGGGGATAATTTTAATAATGGTAGCAAACAGAACCATATTTTCACTCATCTAAACTTCCTATTTGTTGCTAGCAAAAATTAGGAGTAAAATATACCAGAAATATTATAAACCTTATAAACCTAACCTTAAAATATAAATAATGCATTTCTTTAAATTTTAAAAAAAAATTTTAGGTGAGAAGATCAATAATGAAAAGAATCATCAAAATTAGCAAATATAGCTTGCCAGATATTGTGGCTGATTATGAAGAAATTGTAACTGCAAGGTACTACTAAAATTATTAAGTATGAAATATAAACCTGTGAGCTAATACCTTCCAACTCCTCTAAGTTCTCTACTTATATATTAATAGTCACATATCAAAAGATGACGTTTCAGATCATAAAGCAAGAGGTAGAGATTTTAAAATATATTTGGTCACTTTACAGTTGCATTTTATAATATCTACATGACATGTTTGTAATGGTATAGAACTTTAGGGAAGTTTGTCACCCTTCTCCTTATTGATAGTTTTTAGGATATGAAAGAAATGCTTTTGTCTTAAGTCCTAAGATTTTCTTATTTTGAGACTGCTACTGGGCTACCCATTGCTGGTAGCCTGTAATTTCCCCCATCCGAAAATCTGAAAATCCTCAGCAGTGCAAAGGCACTGAGACCCGAAGCAATTGGGGTGGCCTTTGCTGCAGCAACTCATTTTTCATGTTGTCCATTTGTTAAAGTTAAGAGTAGGAACAGGGAGGAAGCAAACCTCCCTGGGGCCATGTGCAAATTCTTGGTATTACCAACAAATTTTGTAGATTTTTTGTAGATTAAGACTCATGTGTTAGTGACATATAGAAATGAGCTCACAGGGCAGTCATCTTCTCTGGTGAAGAGTAGTTGAATTTTATTTTTCAGTCCTTGGGGAAAAATGAGTGTGACTCTAGAACTATAATTCATGGATCTATGTTGGCAGGGCTGTCAGTTTATATAACTAACTCATTTCAAAGGCTTGGAAATTTTTGAATATTCAGTAACTTTTGAGAAAATGCTTCCTAAAAAATTAAATCATCTTCTGAAAGTTTATCATGCCTTATAAGTCTTTATTTCTCAATGTCTTTGCCTCTTTTTGGACCATGTTCCCGAAAGGCATGGAGCAATCACATTTTCTCTCCAACAAGAGGGAACAAAGCATCTCTTCCTTTTTATGCTCAGAAAAATAAGATTTCTTCCTGGGGTTTAAAACAACTTTATCCCCCCTCCATAATGGGGAGAGTGTGGTTCAGAATAATGGCCTTATTTTCAATTAATCAAAAAAAAAAAAACTAAGTAACCTTTTCAACTATGTTATTTTGTGTATGTGAGACTAATCATTTTTTTAAATCTTTAGCCAGTTGACATATGCAATTTGTAAGTTTCTTGAACCACGAAGAAGGTTAAAACCTTGGAGGAAAGAAAGGAAAAAAGTCACAGCACAGAATATCTCTGATGGAGATATTAAGATTCTCATCCGAATAATGAGGGCATATAATATTCCCACCAGGAAAACTGCAGTTAGTAGTAGGTAAGGCAGTATGCTCCAATTTATAGGACTGCAAAAATATCAGTTTTAAATGTGATAAATTTCCTTGCTTTCTTATTTGTGAAACTTTTGCACTTTGTTACTACTCCATATACATAAAATAAATGAAACTTAATATGTTCATTTAGATAATCAAACTGTTTCAGTTTTCAGAAGTTTGAGACTCCTGAAGTAAATTTAACATGTATATTTTGGGGGTATTTGCAACATGCTCACTTTTCCATGCTATATCAAAAAAAAAAATTCCTTTGGTCTCTATTCCCTGTTGTGAAACTTCTAGAGCTTCTACTGCCAACACTATTCCATGCCATTGTCACTTCTCAGTGTTGGAAGCAGAAAGTTGAAGAGAGTAGTTGGGATACAAATTTCGTTTTATGAAATGTGTCAGAAAAGCTAAGGAACAAATGTGGAATGCCTTATGAAATCAGAATTGCCACAGTTGTACCATTCTATTTTGGGCTTAGTGAAAGTAGGATTTTACTCATTTCTTTTTTTTTTTTTTAACCTTTTGAACAGGGCTTGTTAGCATACCCCGTTTTTTTCTGCATTTTTAAAAAATTTATTTCTTACATACAAGACAATAGTGGAGTGTATTACATTCACAATTATCCATTCACAGCACAATTTTTCGTAACTCTGTATATAGAGTATGTTCATGCCAAATTATGCCATTATACGTGAGCCCTTTTTTTTGCATTACAATTCTTTTTAAAATTTTGTTTTTAGTCATACATGGACACAATATCTTTATTTTGTTTATTTATTTTTATGTGGCGCTGAGGATCGAACTCAGGGTCTCTCAAGTGCAAGGCGAGTGCTCTACCACTGAGCCACAACCCCAGCCCCTACAATTCTTAATATACCTTTATACCACAATTTATCATAGGATTTTACTCATTCTTCAGTATACAGTCACTGGGTTTATCTACTTCTTGCAGAGGATATGCAAAGTCAGAATGCACTTCATAATGAATAGTCAAAGTATCATAAACATTAAGTGCTCATGTATATTTAGTGTATTCTGGATATTTAGTGTCTCCTATATTTAGTGTCTTTTATGATTGATATATTATGAATATTTAGTACCCAAGTGCCTCAAAAATATTAGGTGTCCCTGTCTATGTTTAATATGATATACTTCCCTGTCTATGTTTAATATGATATACTCCGCTTGCTTATTTTATTCTTACTATAACTCATGAATTTAACCTATGAAAAACAAATATCCAGATGCAGTGGCACATGCTTGTAATTGGGAGGCTGAGGCAAGAGGATCACAAGTTCAACAATTTAGCAAGCCCTTAAGCAACTAGTGAGATTTTATCTCAAAAAATAAATAAATAAAATGGATTGGGGATATAACTCAGTGACAAAGCACCCCTGGATTTAATTTCTAGTACCAGAAAATAAGAACAAAAACCAAAAAAAAATCCTCACATTAATCTATATTTAAAATATCCTAAAGTTTTTCCCAATGTTTTATGAACTACAATCTTATTTATTAATGGAATTCAATGTTCTCAAAACAAATGTACATTTCCAAGGTTGTTTTGTAAAATAAGGACATATAAAATCACCACTATTTTCTAAAATCATTTTGTTGAAGAAAATGGTAACACCAAATAAATAGAAAAAATATATTCTCAAAATATGACTTGTTTATTTTTCTCCTTTTGTTGAATACCAGAGAAAATTTTGTCATAGGCTGGATCCAACTTTTAGTTGAGCCTTTGGGAGCTGCTTTTCCTGAGTACTAATCATCTCTAACCACTGACTTACACTATGATAAAAAATGTAAGATCCAAGCCAGGGGGAAAATTACCCAGTCCTACCAAACCTAATATTAAAACTAATTAAGTTGATCTGGTGTCTGTTTTGGTGTCAATACCATGCCATTTTTGTTACTATAGCTCTATAGTATAATTTAAGGTTGGGTGTTGTGATGCCTCCTGCTTCACTTTTCTTGCTAAGGATTGCTTTGACTATTTTGGGTCTCTTATTTTTCCAAATGAATTTCATTATTGCCTTTTCTAGTTCTGTGAAGAATGTTATTGGGATTTTAATAGGAATTTCATTAAATCTGTATAGTGCTTTTGGTAGTATGGCCATTTTAACAATATTAGTTCTGCCTCTCCAGGAGCATAGAGATCTTTCCATCTTCTAAGGTCTTCTTTAATTTTTTTTCTCTAGTATTCTGCAGTTTTTATTGTACAGGTCTTTCATCTCTTTTGTTAGATCGATTCCCAAGTTATTGTTAATGGAGTAGTTTTCCTAATTTCTCCTTCTGTAGAGTCAACACATTTGATATATGTGTTGATTTTATAACCTCCTACTTTGCTGAATTCATTGATGAGTTCTAGAAGTTTTCTAGTGGAATTTTTTGAATCTTCTAAATATAGAATAATGTCAGCAAATAGTGATTGAGTTCTTCTTTTCCTATTTGTATCTCTTTAATTTCTTTCCTCGTGTCTAATTGCTCTGGCTAGAGTTTCAAAGATGATGTTGAATAGAAGTGGTGAAAGAGGGCATCCTTGTCTTGTTCCAGATTTTTAAAAGGAATGCTTCCAATTTTTCTCCATTTGGAATGATATTGGCCTTGAATTTAGCATTATAGCTTTTATGATGTTGAGGTATGTTCCTACTATCCCTAGTTTTTCTGGTGTTTTGAACATGAAGGGGTGCTGTATTTTGTCAGATGCTTTTTCTGCATCTATTGAAATTATCATGTGATTCTTGGTTTTAAGTCTGTAGATGTGATGAATTACGCTTATTGATTTCTGTATGTTGAACCAACCTTGCATCCCTTGGATGAACCCTACTTGATTGTGGTGCACTATCTTTTTAATATATTTTTGTATGCAATTTGCCAGAATTTTATTGAGACTTTTTGCATCTATGTTCATAAGAGATATTGGTCTGAAGTTTTATTTCTTTGATGTGTCTTTGTCCAGTTACTATCAGGGTGATACTAGCCTCTGAATGAATTTAGAAGGGTTCCCTCCTTTTCTATGGTACAGAATAGAAGACACAGAGACAAACCCACTTAAATACAGTTATCTCATACTAGACAAAGGCATCAAAAACATTCACTGGAGAAAATATAGCCTAGTCAACAAATGGTGCTGAGAAAATTGGAAATTCACATGTAACAAAATAAAATTAAACCCCTATCTCTCACCCTGCATAAAACTCAATTCAAAGTAGATCAAAGACTTAGGCACTAGAACAAAGACCCTGTGCCTAATAGGAAAAAAATGTGGGCCCAAGTTTTCACCATGTTGGCTTAGGATCTGACTTCCTTAACAAGACTTCTAAAGTATAAGAAGTAAAATCAAGAATCAATAAATGAAATGGATTCAAACTAAAAAACTTCTTCTTGGTAAAGAAAACAATAATGTGAAGAGAGAGCCTTCAGAATGGGAGAAAATCTTTACTACACGCACTGCAGATAGAGCATTAATCTCCAGGATACATAAAGAACTCAAAAAACTTAACACCAAAACCACAAATAACCCAATCAATAAATGGGCTAAGGAACTGAACAGACACTCCACAGAAGAAATATAATCAATCAACAAATATATGAAAAAATATTTATCATCTTTAGCAATTAGAGAAATGCAAATCAAAACTACTCTAAGATTTCATCTCATCCCAGTCAGAATGGCAATTATCAAGAATACAAGCAACAATACATGTTGGTGAGGATGTGGGGGGAAAAGTACACTCATATATTATTGGTGGGAATGCAAATTGGTGCAATAATTATGGTAAGCGATATGGAGAGTCCTCATAAAATTTGGAATGGAACCATCATTTGACCCAGCTATACCACTCCTCATTTTATATCCAAAGGACTTAAAATCAGCATATTACAGTTATACAGCCACATCAATGTTTATAGCATCTCAGTTCACAATAGCGAAATAGATAGATAGAATATCACTCATCCTTAAAGAAGAATGAAATTATGGCATTTGCTGGTGAATGGCTGGAGTTGTAGAATATCATGCTAAGCAAAATAAGCCAATCCCAAAAAACCAAAGGCTGAATGTTTTCTTTGATATGCAGGTGCTAATTCACAATAAGGGTGGGGAGGAAGCTAGGAAAGAATAGTTACTTTAGATTAGGTAGAGGGGAGTGAGGGGAGGGGAGGGGGTATGTGGGTAGGAAGGACAGTAGAATGATTTAGACATTATTACCCTATGTACATATATAACTATACAACTGGTGGGATTTTACATCATGTACAACCAAAAGAATAAGAAACTATACTCCATCTATTTATCATATATCAAATCGCATTCTACTGTTATGTATAGCTAATTAGAACAAAATTGTAAATTTTCAAACTAAAAAAAGCAATATTTTTTAAAAAGCTAATTAAGTTGTCTCTATATTGTTTTTCCTAAAGAGCCTTGGATATGCCTGCTTATTTGATGTCATCCATATCTCGCCTCAGACATAAAGAAACAATCAAATCCGTAGGCTCAGATGAGATCTTAAATGAGGTAAGTATTTAACACTTCTATAAAGTATACTATTGATTGTTTGCTGTGAATTGCAACTGGTTCCTAATTGGCCTCTCCATCTCTATTTTCTTTGACTTCCAATTTGCTTTCCTAACATAGTGAAGATCTTCTTTATAAAATTCTAAGCTTTTTATTCTCTGCTCTCAGTGTCTGTAGAACAAGGTACAATCTCCTTGAAATGGCTACCAAATCTTCAATCTTCTGGCCCTTGTCCACCAACCAGCCTCAGTCCTGTCCACCCCACAGCCAAGTCTCACTGCTCCTTGTTCTACAAGGCCTCCTCTGGTTTCTTCTGCATGCAGTGGCCTCCCCACCTTCTCAACCAGTATTTTCTCTGTGATGTTCTCCTTGTTCTAACCTCAGAAACTTAATCATTCCTTGACTTTAACATATTTCTTCTGTTTTATTTCTCATGTTCCTTCATACTTTATTTTCCTCTGGTAAACTTTAAAATTCTTTAGGGAAAGTTCTATTTATCTTTGGGCCTTGGAAAGTAGCTGATGTGGAATAGGATGAATGGATGTTCATTAAGTCAGTGGATGAATACTGGCCATTTGGATAACTAGTTGCAATCCAGTTGCCAAGTAATTTCCTAGCTTTCTACCTGTACCAACTACGTAAAATATTTCAAAAATCTAGTCAATGTTTATTATGTGTTTCAGGATACCATACATCCTTTTATAGAAGTTTCTTTTCAGCATACAGTATACCAAACCAGTACTGCAAATGGATCTCATCCTTGCTGGAATGAAGAAATTAAAGTAGATTTTATGTAAGTTGGTCGGTTTTCCTGAAGCTTTTTGTTTTTTTAAAAAGAAAAAGAAAATTGTTTTCCTAAGCCATTAATTAAAAATAATGATACTCTTTTAAACTTTTAAATTGTGAAATATTTAATTCATATAAACTAATATACATAATATATAGTATATATAAGTTCTAAAGATAGATAATAAAATAAATACCTGCATCCAGATTTAAAAAATAGAATATTACCAATTCCTTAGAAGTACCATTACTTAACTATCCCTTTCCCAGAGGTAAAAAAAACCCATGAATTTGTTGTGTTTGTCATTCTCTCTCTTCCTTTATTTTACTTCACATATTTTCCCCAACATTTATTTATGCATGTTTTCAGCTTTATACAAATTGAGTCACAATTATGTATTCTTTTGTAATCTTGTTAATTTACTCAAATTATTTTGAGAGATTCATCCTTGTTCATAATTATGGTCCAGCTGTTTGTTCTGGTCTGAATGCACCCCCAAGGTTGAGTGTTGGAAACTTAATCCCCAGAGCAGCTGTGTTGGAGGCGGGGTCTAGTGGGAAGTGTTCAAGTCATGATGGCACTTCCCTCACAAGTCAGTTAATACTGTTATAAAAGAGGTAGAGGGATTATGTTCCCCTGATCTGTTCTTCTGTCATGTGACAATATAGCGTCTATCCCCTTTTGGTCTTTCAGTTTCTCATCATGTAAAGACACAGCACAAAGGCTTTCGCCAGACTCCAGAAACTGGTGCCTTTTTCTTGAACTTATAGCCTCTAGAAATATGAGAAATAGGGCTGGGGATGTGGCTCAAGCGGTAATGCGCTCTCCTGGCATGTGCAGGGTGCTGGGTTCAATCCTCAGCACCACATAAAAATAAAATAAAGATGTTGTGTAAACCAAAAACTAAAAATAAATATTTAAAAAAAGAAATATGAGAAATACACTCTTATTCTTTTTAAATTACCCAGTCTCAGGTATTATGTTATAGCAGCATAAAATGGGTTAAGACTGCTGTTTATTTTTTTCACATCTATATAGTATTACATTGTATGAAAACATAATTTATTTATGCTTTCTTCTGTTAATGCACATTTGTCTTGTTTCTAATTCTCTTGTATTGTAAGCAGAGTTGCTGTGGACATTTTGTGCTTATCTTCTGAAACACACGTCTAAGAGTTTTTTTAATAAGACAGTGGCTCTCAAACTTTTTGTCATTAAAATCACCTACATTGCTGTCTGTCATCAGCCAATGTGCATGGTTTACATTAGGATTCATGCTCTGTGTTGTACATTCTGTGGGTTTTGATAAATATACAGTGCCATTCACTCACCTTTATAATATCATACAAAATAGTTTCACTGCCCTAAAAATTGTGTGCTCCATCTGTTTGTCTCTCACTCTTCTTAGAACCACTAATCTTTTTATTGGCTCCACATTTTGCCTTTTCCAGAACAGTGTTGTATGAATCAGGATTCTTCAGAGAAACAGAACCAAAGTGGGGGGGGGGGAGTCCACAGGGAGGTCAGTCTTTTTAGTGTTTTCAACTAATTGGAAGAAGCCCACCTTTATTGTGGAGAGTAATTTGCTTTACTCAGAGTTTATTTTTTAAATTGCAACCAAAATACACTTTCATAGAAACATGTAGAATAACATTTGACCAAATATCTCTAAAATGTGGCCTCGCCAAGTTGGCACATGAAATTAGCCATGGCAGTCATATAGTCGGAATAATACAGTATGGAAACCACTGAGCTGCATCCCCTGCCTTTTGTTTTTATTTCTGATTTTGAGACAGAATCTCACTAAGTTTCCCAGGGTGGCCTTAAACTCCTCCTGCCTCAGAATCCAGAAGCTGGATTACAGGTGTGGGCCACCACCCTGGCTCCTTCATGTCTTATCATGGTTTGATAACTCATTTTTTTCCACTGAATAATATTCCATCGTACCGACATGTCAGAATTCTATTTGTCTGTTCACCTTGAGCTTCTTTTCATAGGCTTTTCAATCATTAGTATTTTATTTTCTGTACATCTTCCTATTGCTCTGTCTTTTCCTTTTTTTTAAAGGAATTCTCTGTATCTTTTGGATATTAGCCCTTTGTCTCTTCTATGTGGTAAAACTACTTTTCCCTAATGCTTGGGTTTTCATTTTCTTTATATTATGATGAAAAATCAGTTATTAATTTTACTATCATTTTCCTTTATGGTTTGTGGTTTTTTAAATCTTGTTTAATTATCAGTGGACTTCCTTTACTCTCCTTACTTTAAAACTTAATTTGCATTGAAGTTTTAGACTCCTTGCACTTTCTAAACAGCATGTACATATATATCTTTCTATGCTATTCCTATATATAAAAGGTGTAGCTGATAAATCATATTTTTAAGCCTAAAAGAAATACCCAACTATGTTCCTTGCTACCAGGAAGGAACAAAACAGACTAGAGTTTCTTGATTCTGTAACTAAATGTGGTGTTTAGGAACACACACTCACACACATACACAGAACCCAGGGAAAATTGACATAATTAAATATGTACTTTCTCTAATATAGCTGTGCTTTACTGCTGGGTACAAATTTCTGATCAAGCATCTGTAGATGTTAAATATGTAAATGTTTTCCTAATAATATGATGTTATTTTTATCTTTAAAGGTGGGAAAATTGACTTCTTATTTGTATATGCAGATGAGGACTATCTTATGGATTGAATGTCATATGATTTATATGATTTTCTAATTTTTTTAGAACTTTGTATTAACATTTTATATTTCACATTATTTTATAGTTCATGTATGATTATATATGATTGTTTATATGCTCTTATATTATTTATATAATTTATCTAGTGTTAACATAGTCATTCCCATCAACAAGTCTTAGAGACTCAGTAGAACTAACATAATCATTTATATATATATGAAGACATTGTGTAGGCTATATAAACAGTCACATTCCAGCTGCCACTTTACATGGAAACCTCCAGACCCTAACCAGGATGTGCAAGGAGAGGGAGACCCTGAAATCATATGCCATGACTTCAATTGGATGAGAAAAAAAATCATAATAGACTAGTGTGCCTTTGAATTTTGTTAGCTCAGATGCTACGGATACTTTTACTAACAGTAGAAATCAAGTTTGTTCTTCCATATTTAATATCAGCTCAGTTGTATTTTCAGAGTCTTTGGCTATAGTTCCCAAATAGCTTTTCTTATTTGACTGCCTGTGTGGATTTTGTACCTCTTGCTTTGCCCTTCATTCATACTTGATTTCCTGAAATTTTATTTATTTTTTAGAAGTAGATGTACACAATGCCTTTATTTTATTTATTTATTTTTATTTAGTGCTGAGGATGGAACCCAGTACTTCACATGTGTAAGGCAAGTGCTCTATTACCAAGTTACAACCTCAGCACTTTCCTGAACTTTCCAGTCTTTGTGTATGAAGGAGAGTGTTGATTTTAAAGAGAATATTATATTATGTCAAATTCACTAATTAGTATATCAAATGTGTTTTCTTTAAAAGTTTATAAAAGTAAGCTGGGCATGGTGGTCATGCACACTACTCAGGAGGATGAGGCAGGAGGATCACAAGTTTGAAACCAACCTGGGCAACTTAGTGAGACCTTTTCTCAAAATAAAAAATAAAAAGAGCTGAAGATGTAGCTCCGTGGTAGAAGTGGTAGAGTGCTTGCCTGGCATATTCAAGGCCTTGGGTTCAATCCCCAATAAAAAAATAAAAGCTTGTAAATGTAAAATATGTGGTTATATGTGTTTGAAAATATTTAGAATATTAATTTAGACATTGAAATTAGAAGAAGTATACTGTATTAAATAATTTGGGAGGACACAAACAGATAAATAAACTTCTAAGTGAACTAAATAAAGACTGGAGAGTGTTTTCATTCTTGCAACTGTAACAGTGAGCTAAATCAAGAACACACTTGGGTTCAACTGAATGGATCTGACAATTCAGCCAAGGCAAAATCATCTAGGGACCACTTTTTATGGCCTCCAAAATAAGTCCCCTATTTCTCTTCTTCCTGTGACATTTTAGTGACTAAAAACCCATGCAGATAGTAATAATAAATAATTCACAAGTAGTACATAGCCCTCTAAGCCGAAGTTTGGAGGAGGAACTGTGGCAAATTTTGAGGAAAGCTTGAGTACAATACAAGATAATTCAGAAAGACTTGAAGGATTTAAGGGATATTCTAAGTTAACAAGCTTAAAATGTCCTGAAGATGATAGTTGTCCCTCCTTCTGCCTGCCCTGCCCTGCCTTAGGGCTTTCCAACATGAAAGGAAACCCTTGAGCAAATTAGGGGAGTTAGTTGTTAATTTGTCCCTCAGAAATGTAAGGGACATTTTAGTTTAAAATTTCTCTCTAAACTCAACTAGCATTTTTCAGCTATAACTACCTATTGGACTCAGAAATTTATAGGAACCGTTAAGAGATCCTTTGAGATAGTACCTGCTTCTTTAAGTAACAGGCTTTAACAAATAATGTTTGAGCTGGGTGCAGTGGCACACTCCTATAATCCCAGCAGCTTGGGAGGCTGAAGCAGGAGGATCACAAGTTCAAAGCCAACCTCAGCAAAGTGAGGCACTAAGCAACTCAGTGGGACCCTGTCTCTAAGTAAAATACAACATAGGGCTGGGGTTGTTGCTCAGTAATGGAGTGCCCCTGAGTTCGATCCCTGTACCCCACCCCCCAGCAATTAAAAAAAAAAAATAACACAAACCAAATAAGGTCTGAGGTGTGCCACTTGGTGGCAACACCAATAATTGAGCTTCAATTACCCCATGTATGATAACTTAACTATACAGGATTGTGATTTTCATCTTAGTTGAATGTTTGATGGAGATTCAATACTCTAGCTGGAGCTGAGAGTGGAAGGTCATTGCTTATGATATATACTGTCATTTCTGTTACTTCCAATATGTACCTAATCAAGTAAGCCATCAGCAGACAGCTTGCAAAATTAAATATACTCTATTATCCCAATTTCTGGTTGGAGAAAATAAATATGAGAAAAAGAATAAGCTCTGCAGTTATTAAGTAATCATATCCATGAACTGGAAGCAAAAGATGGTTTTTATTTGTTTTTATTTGGGTTTTTAAAATATTCTTTGTTTATTTTGTAATCCAAGGGATTGAGCCCAGGGGAGCTATACCTCAGAGGTATATCCCCAGCCCCTTTTTATTTGAGAAAGGGTCTCACCAAGATGTCCAGTTTGTCCTCAAATATGTGATCCTTTTGCCTCAGCCTCCTGGGGTTTCAGGAATGTGCCACTGAGCCCAGAAAGAGCATTTCAACCATATATATAAACCAAGAATTTAAGATAGTAGATAATCTTAATACAGCATTTCCAGAAAATGTTTCAGTGGATAGCTCTGGTGGAAGCCTTTCTGCTTGATAGTTAACATTTTTACTTTTCATCTTAAAAGAGATATAAGGTAAATTCCAAAGCACCTACTGATTCTAATGGAAGGTCACAGCTAGTTTTCAAAGCATGCAGCTTTTTCTAGGTTTATGCTTTATAAAGAAAAGGATACGACAATTTTACCATACTTTATGAATAATAATCTCAGAAAATAAATGGATTTTGAAAAAAATAAGCATTTACCTATGTTTTTCTTATTTGCAGCTCACCAGGACATGATTATAGCTTCTCAAGCTTATCTAAAATAAAAGATAATATATGTATCAACATTTTTGATGAAATGATAATTGAAAAACATGAGGTAAAGTAGAATAATTGCAATAGTCAATGTTCAAATAATTCTTAGAAGATCCAACTGTCATTTGAAGAATTCTGTAAGCTGGGTGTGGATGCTCAATTCAGGACAAGTGGTGTCCTTGCATACATAAAATTTGTGTGTGTGTGTGTGCTACTTGAGATTGAACCCAGGACATAGCACATGCTAGGCAAGTGCTGTAGTACTAAGTTATATCCCCAGCCAAGTTGTACTTCTTTTTAAAATTCTTTTACAACTTTTAAATTACCTTTTATAATTTACCCAAATCCTTATTTAGTTGTGTATTGTATCTCTTTCTATTTGGGGATCGTAGTAGTCTTCACATGTATTCTGGAGCAGGGCAATAGGCAGAGCCCTATCCTAGACAAAGCTGGCCTTTTGACAAATCTTAACAAAAGTTTTTACATTTGAAGCTAATCTATTCCCTCTTTCTAAATATCATTCTATTTAGGTAGATGTGGAAACAAAGTTTTATATATTGTTAATTTGTAAGGGACATATGAAGTTAACATTAATAATACTGCATCTGAAATTTGAATCCATCAGAAAGACTAAGAGAGCCCATATTTTTCTTTCTTTGTGAAAAAAGGGGCAAAATATTTTTATGTTGCACATTGCCAAACTTAAATCAACCAGGCTCTTATTATCCTTCCAAAATACATTTAAATTCTCATGCTGATATAAAGAATAATATAATTCTCCATATAACTTATTAACAACAGGTTACTTTTATTCAGTTTCAAAATATTGAATAGCAAAATAAATCCCTGTTATGGTCTACTTATGAGATATCCTCCAAAAGCTCATGTATAAGACAGTATCATAATTTTCAGTGGTGAAATGATTAGATTATGGAGATGTGAACTAATCAACTGATATGAATTAACTGGGTTATAACTGTAAGCAGGTAGGGTGTGGCTGGAGGAAATAGGTCACTGGGGATAAGCCTTTGGGGTTCATATTTTGTCCCTAGTGAGCATAACTCTCTCTAATTCCTGATTGCCAAGCTGCTTTCCGTCTGCTGCATCCTTCCATCATGATATTCTGTCTTAACCTGAGGCTATAGCTGTGGAGTAGGCTGACCATGGACTGAACCTCTGAAATAATGAGCCAAAATAAACTTTTTCTTCTCTAATTATTCTTGTCAGGTCTTTTGATAACAGCAATGACTGAAACAATCCCCACTTAATTTTGCCTTTTAAGAATAAATAAAATATAGTAAAATAGAATACGTTTAGAGATGTACTCCCTAGGTGACCAGTGCCCTCAATCATTTTAATTATCAGAGTGGCATCGTTTGGAATGTCAACTGTTTGAACACATCTAATTATCTTTACTCAAAAATGATATAATGTAATTAGGAACACACAAACATAATCCTGAAAAAGTTTGTCCCAAGAAACGATTTTAGTTTGGAGGATACAAACTTGGTAAACTGCTTTCTGTAGTTTTGTATTTTAAAAAGAGTGTGTAATCTGCAGAATGCAAAGTATACATTTAACACACAAAGAAGCCAGAAATAATTAACATCACAGTAACACAGATGTCATATGTATAAATTAGCTTTTATTCTTGAAGCAAAATTCACAATACATGTTTTCATAGAATAACTATAATTATGTGAGTCTCCTGTAACAGGTTTACATAGACAAATAATACTGAAAAAAAAATCAAAGAATATCTTGTGTGGTTTAGGAAGCAGGGCTAATAATCCCAAAGAGATTTATCATGGAGTGTACAGATGCAGTACATCTCATATACACCATAACAAAATATGTTGTACAAAAGAGAACACTTACCAGTTACCTTGCATGTATTAAACCTTCATAACTTTAACTTTACAAACTCTTGTATAACATTTAGAAAAAGCTCAAATACGCTGCATATTTAGCCTTCAGATGTATACACAACTCTAATCATAGATATATAGTGTCAAATATATCATATAACCTAAAATAACATATTTAATTAGAGTTATAAAGTGATCACTTAAAAGATTTAAAAATAGACAGGTACTTATACAAACCTTGATTTTTTTAAGACTAGTTTTCCTAAGTAAAGAAAACCTAATAGATCAAGAAATTGTCTTGACAAAATACAAAGTCTTTGTTCTTTAAGCCAGTTCTTTGTGAACGTTAATAATAGCAGATTACTGTTTGTTTGTTTTTTAAACTTATTGCTTTCAATATAGAGAATTAGAGTCTGGTTTTTTATCAGTTCATTAAATTTTGACTTTGGAAAAACTCTTAAACAACTTAATTCTAGCCGACTTAATCACACATACAAATTTTCTAAGGTTTATTTTTTTAAACCTTCTTTGATTTGACTTAGAATCTCTACAACTTATATACAATCTTTTCTCATCAAAAATCATTCCTTTTTCCTTTTAACTTTCCTTACCAATAATATATCCCCACAGCTATAACTTTCTTATGTCTCTTTTCTTTTTCCTTAATATTTTTAAAATTTATAATTTGAAACAAGCCTTACATAATTTCTAAATTTAGGTAAATTATTACTTTTTCCTCAGTAAGATAAATACTTTTTTGCATATTTTAAAAAATCAAAACATAGCTTAAAGCCTTAAACATGTTCATTAGAATGTTAACTCTCAGCAACCTTGCTTTTTAGTGAAGACTCAGGAAAAAAAAATCTTAATTGATTTTCCACATACCAAAAAATTCATTAAAACACATTTATTAATATACTGTTGTAAGCTATGCCTTTAAAATAGACCAAACACATTTGTCTTTACATAGTGTCAGAATTTATTGAATAACAATATATTCACAAGCTCCACCAATTTCAGTGGTTTCAACTCACCAAATACTTGTCACCTGTTATTCAGAAGCCAGACAATCACAAGTTCTTTATTTCAGTCTCATCTCTATAATACTGAAGTCCCACACTTTATACAATGATATAGGTTACAGAAAGTTTAAGAAAGGGTTAAGGTAGAGGAATAGTCAGTGTAGCAGAATAAATTTATGGGGAAGGAGGAGAGATGGGAAAGGGTAGGAAATGTGGAATAAATTTGACAAAATCACACTATGTATGTATAAATGTAACAGGTGAATTCCACCTTTATGTGTATTTGTACAGACCAATTAAAAATAAATAAGCAAGGAGGACTCAGGAAGCAGAGAGAGGGAGGACACAGAGGGAAAGGGCCACAGGGAAGATGCACCTTTCTAGGTCATGCACCTAATGACTCAGCTCCTCCAGTCATGGCCTCCAGCCTATGTTACCAGTCCTTCCATTCAAACCAAGATGCACTGATTAACTTACAGATCACATAGTCTAATCATTTTACTTCTAAATATTCCTGCATGAACAGAAGCTTTTGAGGTATGCCTCATATCCAAACCATAACAGTGACATGGCCTCAAATTTGCAGCTTTCCCGCCTCAGCCTCCTTCGTTGCTGTGATAACAGGCATATACCAACATATCCAGCTAAAGCTTATATCCTGCTTTCAGTTGCCTAGAAGGCATCTGCGGGTCTAAGTGAAGAGTCAGTGCTTTTAGCAAAAAACACCTCACCTACTTATAACACTGGGGATGAAAGAGCTGAACTGAACTGGATTTGGACTTGGCACAGAAAGCTAGAAGCATCTTCCACATTTGAAACTTTGGTGAACCAAAACTGTTATAAACCCTCTGATTGCCACAAAAAGAACTTTACTCCAAAGATGTTGGTTTAAAAAGGAAAAGAAAAAAAAAGAAAAAAAAACAGCTGGGGGACCTAGCCAACATCTGTAATCCCAGCTGAGGCAGGGAATTGTGACTTCAAGGCCCTCCTGATACCCTGTCTCAAAAGTAAAAATTAAAAAGGCTAGGGATCTAACTCAGAAATAGAATGCTCTTAGATTCAACTTCCAGTACTACATTTTTTTTCCTCTTTTTAAAAAACATTTTAAATTTATCAGCATATCATTTTCATCATAATCCCTTAAAATTTTTTCCTAGTATTATCTACTCTTCCCTAACTTTGTCCAAATGTGTCTAATTTTATTCTATGATTTATTTTGGAAGCATTTAAACAAAACTCATGAAACCAGAGGATCTCTTTTAAAAAGGGCTTTATTGAGCCAACACAGATGCTGCTAGAAAGAAAGGCCAAGTCCTGAGACAAACAAGTTCCGACAGTAACCACAGTAACCAGCAGTATGGCTCTGTAGTGGTTGGAAAAATGCTCACTGGACCTTTAAAGAGCCAGAGTATTTTATAATGCTAATCTGGGGGAAAGAACCTATAAATTATTTATAGTGAACCTGTCACTGGAGAAGAGACTTCTCCAGAGAAAGGTCTAAGAAGTTTCCAGAGGGGAGGGGGAATTCGAGTCAGGACAAGGGGGGTTCTTGGCACATGTAATCGGAAAAAAAATTTCAAAAAAAATTTCAACTGGAATCTAAGGCATAGACAGAGGTTTATTTAGGAAGTAGATAACACATTCTAGGAAAAATGCAGGCTCTCTTGAGAGTGAGAAGCCCTCCCTTGGGCTGGGGGTGCAAAATTTACAGAAAGGCCATGGTTGAGGGCCGGGCTGGAGGTGGAGCCAGGTGGAGCTACACAATTTTTCACCCTGAGCAATTTTCCCTGTGCTTGTGTGTTTCCTTTATTTTACAGGGACATGGGCCAAGGACATGTCACACAAGATTTACAACTGTGCTTTCTGCATCTCAGTGACTCCCTTAAGATACAGTATATCTCTCTCTTTACACTAAATACGTATCTCAAAACTACATTGGCTGTAGGCAAGAGAGGATTACACAAGAGTGGGAGAAACTTTGGGTTAGGAGGGCAGAGAATAAGAAGGAATTCAGGACTAGCTGAGGTTGTAAACAGAATGAGGTGGCAATTTAGGGTATAAAACTGTTGTCTTCTATTCAATCTGTAGTTTCTTAGCTGTATAACTTCCCCCATTTCACCTCCCCTCCACTATTCATCCCTTATAATTAAATTTAAGACATCTCAGAATCTTTC